GGGAGGAGACCCAGTGACCTCTCCACCGTCACCTCTGTGGGACAGGCCACTGCAGGATTGTGCAGGGAGAAGGTTGTCATAAGTCACTTTAGGGAGGGGGGATGTGGCGCGTGACAGGGAGAACTGAGGATCAGCCCTCTCCGGGAAGGGTAGGGTGACGGGGGCCACAGGGAGGCTGTGTAACAGGTTTCCACGTGGGCGAGAACCCACACGTGGATAGGGCTGTCCAGGCAGAGCCAGCAGGAAGTTGGTGACAGAACATCAGGCCACCCAGACACTGAAACATAATCGGGTCACCCTCGAGGACAAAAGTCCCCAGGACAGTGTCCTGTGTAGGTGAGTTAGAAATTGACACCTGTTTACAAAGGAGCCGTTTTAGATTAGACATTAAAAAGCATGAGCTTTGGCCCTGGCCGGTTTGGCTCAGCAGTTGGAGCGTCGGCGAGAGACCCGGGTTCGGTTCCCGCTAAGGGCACGTACCTCGGTTGCAGTTTGTCCCCTGCCCTGGTTGGTCGTGCGGGTGGCAGCCACGCGATGTGTCCTTTCACATCGATGTTTCTCTCTCTCTCTCTTCCTCTCTCTCCTTCCCGCTCTGTCTGAACAAAAAATGCAAAAATGTCCTCGGGTGAGGATTAAAAAAAAAAAGCATGAGCTTTGGCCCGGCTAGTGTGGCTCAGTGGTTGAGCGTCGACCCATGCACCAAGAGGTTGCAGGTTCGATTCTCGGTCAGGGCACATGCCCAGGTTGTGGGCCCGATCCCCAGTGGGGGGCATGCAGGAGGCAGACAGTCGATGTTCTCTCTCATCGATGTTTCTATCTCTCTCTCCCTCTCCCTTCCTCTCTCTCTAAAAAATAAATAAGTAAATAATAAAGAAAAAAAAAATTTTTTTAAAAAGCACATGCTTTGCTCAGACAGACCTACTGGGTCACTCATGAACTGGGACCTACGGGTGAGCCACCAAGCCTCCTAGATTCCTCAGCTGTGACAGGGGGTGATAACAGTACCTGCCTAGCTCCAACTGTCTGTGACAACAAAATGAGATAGCACGGTGATCTGGAAAGCGCTGGGCACAGGGCCTGGCACACAGTGCGTCCCCGTGAATGCAAACTGTTCTAATCTGGGTTCAGATCTTGGTTCTGAGAAAGCTTATATGAGCAGACAATAAATCAAAGAAATGGGCTGTGTCAGGAAACGTCCCAACTTAGGTAAGAATATGTTGCTGCTTGGGGTAAGAGAGAGGTAAGATATCCGAAGTATAACGTGGGATTTCAAATGCTTTTGCCCTATTAGGAATCTAGACGACATTCCTCTGGTGACCTCTGAGTCTCCCGCGACTCCATTCTTGATGAAGAACTTTTTGAATCTTGACTGCAACGTGCATCTAACTCTTGGCTCCTTTCCTCCAGGGCCATGGTCTCAGCTGTGCAATGATAGGCCACACCCTCCTGTTGCCTTAGTGCATTCTGTCGCATTGAATAGGTGACATATTTTAATGGTTCATACCAATGGACTTTAGGGTATTAAAAGATAATATAGGATTTCAGGGAGTTGCCAGCTTGTCACCCTTTAGTTTGAAGTTTGAATTGAAGTTGGATATTCTTAGTGGGGTCTCTCCTTTGTTAAAAGAATCAGATACTCTTTATTTATTATTATTCTTCACCCGAACACATTTTTCCATTTATCATCAGATAGAGTGGGAGGGAGGGAGGGAGAGAGACAGAGAGAAACATCAATGTGATAGAGCCACATGGACTGGTTGCCTCCTGCACGACCCTACCAGGGCCAGGGACGAACTGCAACCAAGGCACGTGCCCTTGACCGAAATCGAACCCACGACTCATTGGTCCGAGGGCCCATGCTCCAACCGCTGAGCCAAACCGGCCAGGGCACGAATCAGATCCTCTTCTCTCTAGCCAGGCCTAGTTTCTAAACAAAACGCTTCATTTGGAGTCAGAGGCGTTGCCTGTGAGACCTACCAACGATCTAGTACACAGACTTCCGAAGCTTCATCCCCAAAGGTGATGGTGATAAGAAGGACAGCCGTTTCATGAGATTTTTGTGAAAAGCAAATAAAATGGGGAACGTGTTCTCTGTAAGCTGCGAAGGATTTTACAGCATTAGCTACGCGTTCACTCTTTTTATTCCTGCTGGTGGGAAGAGCACAGACTAGACGTCAAGAGTTCAGGTTCTGCTCCCTACTTGTTACTTGACCTCAAGCAAGTCACTTGATCTCTTAAAGCCCCAAGTTCATCGTCTAGGAAACACTCTAGGATTCTGAGTCATTTCAGAGGAAGTAAATGAGGTTAGATTAGCAGGGATGAGGAAAGCAATCCTTTCCAAAGGACAGGGGAGGTGAGCCTGGCTCCCACCTGGGAAATCAGGAAAAGTGCTTCCGAGACACGAAGGAAGGAAGGTGGCAGCCCTGTGCTCGCTTCGGCAGTACGTGTACTCAAACTGGACGACAGGTGAGCGTGGCCCTGCGCGAGGACGGCGTGCAAACGTGTCAAGCTGGAACCATGAGGCTGGACCACTGGCTTCTGGGCTGAGGCAAGGGCATCCCGGTCCGGTAGTGAGCAGTAATCTGAGATGGGTGCCATCAGCACTAGCCTAGATGTCTGACCCACAAAAAGAAAATAGCACCACTACCTGAAGCCAGTCCTTCGCCCATGCAGCCGCTGTTCCACGAATAGCACACTGTGCACTGTGACCTCCACGACCACAATAGCAGTTGACCCGTCCTGCAGACACACGTGTGAGGCCAACACATGTACAGTGTAGAAGCAGCGACCTGGTACGATGGGGAACAGACAGGGAGGGCGTTGAGCTGGCCGCCCCAAAGTCAGACAGACCGGCAGCCCTCGGGGATCTGATGGGAGGGCCTCAGGAACTGTGGCGTGGCGGACCCAGGACTCCTCTGCCACTGGGGTCCCATCAACTGGGCCCACTTTATCCACGAGTCTTTCTGCCTCCCTGCGGTGACAGATGCAAAGCCGAGCATTTTGCAAGCATTTCGAGGCGCGGAGTGGCAAGGGACGACTGTGTACATAAAGAATCCTACTTCGCGGAAATTCATTTATCACGGCCGAGTCTGGAACAGATTAAGCGCGATACATGAGGGCCGACTGTGGTTGGTTTATATAAAGGCCAAGTTGACCCAAAAGGCCGGAGATCTGACAGAAATGCCAGGCCTAGTAAACTAGTGGCTGTTTAGTGTTGGCAGTGCACTTAAGCCTTGTCACCTCGGCTTTAACATGGAGCCGGTCAGTGTGCCATCCTCTTAGAGCTGTTGTGAGGGGTCAGTGACACATGAAACGGAAGCTTTTAGAATAGTCGCGGGCACATAGGAAGGTCTCAATAAATAATGGCTGTTGCCCAAGTTCCCCTATCAGTCAAGTAGCAGCCCTGCGGAAAGGGTAAGGAAGCAGGGAAGTGATGGATTTATGTAACTGAAAAGTCCAAGGCAGGGCTGCTTCAGGTACAGCTTGATCCAGGAACTCAAGTGATACCACCAGGATCTGGTTTTCTTCTCTCCCGCTCTCCCCATCTTCCTCCGGAGCTGGCTCCGTTCTGACCGGCTGTCCCTCCCACAGGAGCAAGATGGCTTCAGCAGGTGCAGGCCACACATCATGCTAGGCAGGGCAGTAGAAGAGGTCATCTGTCCACTCTCTCCAAGGCCACAGCACCTCCCCTGAGTCTACCACTGAAGCAGGAGAGGACGACGCAGAAATTGCCGTAGGCCTACCCCAGGAATTGGGGGCAGAGTCAGCACCACCGAAACCTTGCAGATTGAGGATGGGGGGAGGCTGGTTTCTGACAGGGACTGTGGTGTGACCAGGTGGGACTGGAAAACTTCAGGTGAATCACAGCACCAAGCAGCCATCCAGCTGTAGGAGCAGAGGACCTGTTAGCCTTCCTTCGGGTCCTGGTCATTCGGGAGGGAGGTGCTCCACTGACCACAGCACTGTCGCGGGCAGTCAGGCCTCAGAGAGCGACACCCAGCATTTCTGGATGTAACAGGACAGCCCAGTTCAAGAACTACTGGGACACTAAGTAGTCAACCAGAATGCAACAAACTCGATGAACTCGAGTAACATTTTTCATTGCACTTGCCAATTAGTAGAAACAAGCCCAACAATGAAAATTCAGCTCATCAAAGGCTATTTCCGATGAACGTCATGGGAAGTGGATATTCCTTAAGGATGGTGGAGACTTCCTCATCCTCTTCCCAGACCCACAGTTAGGGTGGCACACATGCCGCCCTCCTGGCCTCCAGCCAGCCATGGGAAATGGCCCAGGTGCTGGCCCTGGCCGGGCACCAAACGGACATGAGTGCTGTACACACGTGTTCTCGCTGCGCCGCGCGGTTAGCCAGGAGCCACAGAGGAGGGGTCAGGCTGCCTGATCAGCTGCTCTCTGACTGTCCCCGTCCTTGTCCACCCCCATGATGCACACACCCCAGAATGGATCTGTGCTTGGATGCCCTCCCCCTGCCCCAGGTCAAAGCCCAGCTCGGTGCCCTTTCTGACTCCTGGCTTTTGCCTTTGCATCTCTGGGTACTTCCTGCCAGCGGAGCACCTGCCGGTCTCTCTTCTCGCCTCTGCACCTTCTCCCAGGAGACGTGCAACACTGACACCTCCCATTAGAGCTACACTTGCTTCCTCTCGCTCAGGCTGGCCTTTAAGCCCTGTGACCTCGGCAGCCTCTGCTGCCCGTGGATCCCTCCCCCGCACCTACTTCCTGCGGGTTGTCTCTGCGGACTGTGAGGACGCGGCCCAGGGATCGCTGGGGTCTGGGTCTTTCAGAGAATGAGTTCCCCCACCACCACCCAGTTACCATCCCCCAGCCTCACCCCAGCCCGCCTACTTGCCGGTCCCGAAGGGTCGTCTGAAATGTGGCTGTCACTGGTGGTCCAGGCTCCAGCCTGCAGAGGCGGGACAAGATGCTGAACATCCCCCGGCGCTCAGACCCCCTGACGAGCGTGCCCGTGCTGTGTTCACAGGTGACTGCTGGCTGCTGGCAGCCATCGCCTCCCTCACCTTGAATGAAGAAGTGCTGGCGCGAGTCGTCCCCTTAGACCAGAGCTTCCAGGAGAACTATGCCGGGATCTTCCATTTCCAGGTAACTCCGTGGTCAGCCCAGGAGGTCCCGGGGGCTAGGAGCAGGTCCTGGGGCTAGGAACAGGTCCTGGGGGGTAGGAACAGGTCCTGGGGGTAGGAACAGGTCCTGGGGGGTAGGAACAGGTCCTGGGGGGTAGGAACAGGTCCTGGGGGGGTAGGAACAGGTCCTGGGGGGTAGGAACAGGTCCTGGGGCTAGGAACAGGTCCTGGGGCTAGGAACAGGTCCTGGGGGTTAGGAACAGGTCCTGGGGGTTAGGAACAGGTCCTGGGGCTAGGAACAGGTCCTGGGGCTAGGAACAGGTCCTGGGGGTTAGGAACAGGTCCTGGGGGGTAGGAACAGACCCGGGAGGCTAGAGACAGATCCTGGGGGTAGGAACAGGTCCTGGGGGTTAGGAACAGGTCCTGGGGCTAGGAACAGGTCCTGGGGTAGGAACAGGTCCTGGGGGTTAGGAACAGGTCCTGGGGGGTAGGAACAGACCCGGGAGGCTAGAGACAGATCCTGGGGGTAGGAACAGGTCCTGGGGGTTAGGAACAGGTCCTGGGGGTTAGGAACAGGTCCTGGGGCTAGGAACAGATCCGGAACAGGTCCTGGGGGTTAGGAACAGGTCCTGGGGGTTAGGAACAGGTCCTGGGGCTAGGAACAGGTCCTGGGGCTAGGAACAGGTCCTGGGGGGTAGGAACAGGTCCTGGGGGGGTAGGAACAGACCCGGGAGGCTAGAGACAGATCCTGGGGGTAGGAACAGGTCCTGGGGGTTAGGAACAGGTCCTGGGGGCTAGGAACAGGTCCTGGGGGCTAGGAACAGGTCCTGGGGGGTAGGAACAGGTCCTGGGGGGGTAGGAACAGGTCCTGGGGGGTAGGAACAGAACCGGGAGGCTAGAGACAGATCCTGGGGGTAGGAACAGGTCCTGGGGGTTAGGAACAGGTCCTGGGGCTAGGAACAGGTCCTGGGGCTAGGAACAGGTCCTGGGGGTTAGGAACAGGTCCTGGGGGTTAGGAACAGGTCCTGGGGGTTAGGAACAGGTCCTGGGGGTTAGGAACAGGTCCTGGGGGTTAGGAACAGGTCCTGGGGGTTAGGAACAGGTCCTGGGGCTAGGAACAGGTCCTGGGGCTAGGAACAGGTCCTGGGGGGTAGGAACAGGTCCTGGGGGGGTAGGAACAGGTCCTGGGGGGTAGGAACAGACCCGGGAGGCTAGAGACAGATCCTGGGGGTAGGAACAGATCCTGGGGGGGTAGGAACAGGTCCTGGGGGTTAGGAATAGATCCTGGGGGTAGGAACAGATCCTGGGGGGTAGGAACAGGTCCTGGGGGGGTAGGAACAGGTCCTGGGGGTAGGAACAGATCCTGGGGGTAGGAACAGATCCTGGGGACTAGGAACAGATCCTGGGGACTAGGAACAGGTCCTGGGGGTTAGGAACAGACCCGGGAGAGTAGGAACAGGTCCTGGGGACTAGAAGCCAGTCCTGGAAGCTAAGGACAGGTCCGGGGACCAGGAACAGGTTTCCTGGCTTGGCCGAGCTCGTCGGTCCCGTGCTGTGGACTCCTACGGCCAGTGCTGTTCTGCAAAGGACACGGAGAAACAGCAGGAAGCTCCCTGCTGCCCCTACCCCGACCCTGTGAGGACAGTGATGGGGGCCTCTTGGGACAGGCAAGCAGGGAGGTAGGACGGTGCTTAGGAAGTCATTCCCAGGTGTTAAAAAAAGTTTATTATTTGAGGTCTGAAACCAAATGTTAAGGGACTATTCACTCTGCTCCTTTCATGCTCGGAAATGAGAAACACTTCAAAGCTCTCGGTGCAGAGCAGAGTGCTGCAGAGGTGGGTGTGGCTCTGGAGGGAAGGTCAAGGGCCGCTGTCCTGGTTTCTCGGTGGGGATTTACCCACACAAGCAGCTTCTGCTCAGATGGGCTCAGCAAAGCTTCGCAAGCAATTCACGCCCAGTGGACCCTGGGTGGCCCTCTTCCACCTCAGATGGTTTTGTGGGGAAAAAGCCAAATGCAGCTGAGGCTCGGGGTCCCCTTGCTGCCACCGGCTGCGCCTGCAGTCCCCCCACACCACCCCTTCGCTCCCCTTGTCCCGCAGTTCTGGCAGTACGGCGAGTGGGTGGAGGTGGTGGTGGACGACCGGCTGCCCACCAAGGACGGGGAGCTGCTGTTCGTGCACTCCGCAGAAGGCACCGAGTTCTGGAGCGCGCTCCTGGAGAAGGCCTACGCCAAGTGAGTGACCGCGCGCTCCCTGGCAGCTGCCCAGCTGCCCGGATGCCCAGAAAACCAGGAACCATCCTCCACGACTCCGAGTAAAGGACCTGGTCCATAGAAGGACTACGTGGGCCTACACTGGGCTCTAAATTCAAGGACAATGCGTGCAGGGCGCCTGGCCCCATTACGGACGGACACATGACCACTACTGCACTGTAGCCAAAGGCGCAGGAACAGATGATGGGACCGAGTGTGCCCGCCGTGAGAAGGGCCTTCCACTGCCCTGGCAGGTCATGTTACATTTTTATCAGCTAAACGCAGCAAAAAGTTCTTGCTAATGGGCCAAACCATCCATTGCAGATGGAAATTTGCCCAGAACATACAGAGTCTCTGATTAGAAATGGTTTCCCACACTTTCCCAGCCGTGTCCCACCCACGTGGCCCAGAGTCCAGTTGTCCAGTGCCCGCTGTCAATAGGAAGGCCCACGTCAGCTCCCCTCCAGAGTGGCCTCGTCCTGGCCATGCTGCCTGGCTTAGTCCATTGAAGTGACTGGCACTAAGGCTTTGGGGAATTTCCGTTCGTACTGCCCCTGCCAGGGAGGAGGGCAGGATGTACATACCCCGCCCTGACAGCCACTTCTAAGTCACACGCTCAAATAGTAGAGTTAGTGAGGCCCCAGGACGCCCAGAGCCCCCAAACACTGCCTATTGCTCCAGGAAAGTGCCTTCATTATTGAGTTGTTGTCTTTTTTAAAGCTGTAAGTGCCAAATAGCTAACTGGCAGGCCTCCCCTCTCCTGTCACCAAGTAGGAAGGCTCCATACAAAGTCTGGACCAGATAATCACTAGAGCCTTGCAACTCTCAGGTTCTAGGAGGTTTTCAGAAACCTCTCCAAGTCCCAGGGCAACGGTGGCGCTGGAGATGGTAACTTGCCCTCATGGGCACCCTGAGTTGGAGACAAAGGCAAGAGTAATCCGAGCAGAGGGTCCCTGGAGCGCCCGACAAAGGAGGCATCAAGGAGGGGGCGGACATGCCGAGAGGCTGCGGCGTCAGGTGGCAGCAGCATCTCTTCCCTCCTGTAGGATCAACGGGTGCTACGAAGCGCTCTCAGGGGGCGCCACCACCGAGGGCTTCGAGGACTTCACGGGAGGCATCGCTGAGTGGTATGAGTTGAAGAAGGCCCCTGCCAACCTGTTCAAGATCATCCAGAAGGCTCTGCAGAAAGGCTCACTCTTGGGCTGCTCCATTGATGTAAGTGCTGGCCTCCCTCCCGGCCCCACCTCTGGTCTGCTCCAGCTGGAGCGGGCCTCCAGCGGTGCCCCAGGAAACCCACTGCCCAACTTACATTAGCCCATCCCTGTCCACCCTAGTGAGCATCACCTGGAACCCAGGGTTGCTAGGCAACAGCCAGGCTGTCTGGGGTACGGCCGAAGGGGTGATGGTACCTCCAGCCCTTCACTCTCCAGCCCTCAACCTCCCGTGAATCACCACCGCAGACCAAAGGTTTCCTTTGAGCCCCTGCCTTCTGCTGTCCTGAGGAAAGGCCCCCATCTGCAGGGCCTGTGCCTGGAGCCCAGAGGCCTTCCCCTCTCTGCTTCAGGGTTGATGGGAAGACTTCAGAAGGCACAGAAGAAACCAGGCCCTCATACTAGCCTCGCTGGCAAACCTCACCAGGGGAAGGGAGGTGGGACGATGCCTGTCCTCCATGAGCCTCCAGGCAAAGGCTGGCCCACTGCCAAGCCCTGTCCTATCCAGGACCTGGTCCTTGTGGGTCAGAGAAGAGAAACCCTGGCTCTTGGGGCCCAAATCTCCGTCCAACTCCAGGCAGGGATTCTCAAACTCTAAAGACCATGTTGCGGCAAAAGACCCCATCTGCCCACAGCCCATCTTCCGATTTACCAAGACACCCCATGCTGGGCCACCTGATGTCTGGTGTCTGTCCTGAGCCCAGGCGCCCACCAGTCCTCTCTCCATGGTGTGTCCCAACCCCGCCCTCCTCAGCCTGCACAAATGTGTGGGTGCACCCTGCACACGTTCAGGTGGGCGCCCACTCTCCCAGAGGGTTGCTGCATTTAGCCTTTGCCCAGGTTGTACAAGGCGGTTCAGCATCCGAGAGCGGTAGCAGGGTGTGCCAGGTGCTGGAAAGCACAGTTCTGCGCCCCCCCGAGGCCACGCCCCACAGGCCACGCCCCTGAGGGCCACGCCCCTGCCGTGTGCTCCCGGCTCCCGAATGAGCGAGTGAGGGATGGGGCGCAGGCACGGTGCGGGAGCCGCAGCTGACTCTTCCCGCGTTTCCAGATCACCAGCATCGCGGACTCGGAGGCCGTCACGATGCAGAAGCTGGTGAAGGGACACGCGTACTCTGTCACCGGAGCCGAGGAGGTAACGCCCGCGGGGGTTTCTCAGGGGTCTTTCTCTCCGTAACACTATGTGCAAAGCACGTTTTTGCCTGTGACTGCCCAGCTGTATCCAAACAGACCTCGCATTCCTGAAGTTCAGACAGGACTCAGGGGCCTTTCCGGTCCTTCCTGTCCCTTCCGGAGCCTCGGGTCCCCAGGCGCGCGCTGCCCTCTGCTGGCCGCAGGGTCGAGCCAGGCGCTCTGATTCTACAGCTTCAGAACTACCTTGTTCTTCTGGGCCAGCTGGAAATAAAGGGTACTTGCCATGCATGTGGTGTTGGGTACTCTCCAAAGTGCCCTCACGTTTGACCCCACAGAAGCATTGGTGCCTCAGTTGGTGTTCAAATCTGACTGCCTCTTGCCAGCTCTGTGCCCCGGCAAGTTCCTTATATATTTTGCCCCTTTGTGTCCTCGTCTTTAAATGGGAAATAATAACATCCATTGTAAGGTTGTTGGGGGTGATTCCGTCAAGTTAATATCTGTAAAGTGCTCAGACTGTGCCTGAAATATTGTCTAAGCTCCTGGCTGGTGTGGCTCAGTAGTTGAGCATCGACCCTGCACCAAGAGGTCACCGGTTCGATTCCCGGTCAGGGCACATGCCCAGGTTTTGGGCCTGATCCCCAGTGGGGGGCATGCAGGAGGTGGCCAATCTACTCACATCGATGTTTCTATTTCTCTCTCCCTTCTTCTAACATTAATAAAGAAAAAAAAATATTTTTTAAACATTGTCTAAGTATGTAGCTGTACTCGCTGCTGCTGTTATTATTATTATAAATATTATTAAGCATCCCAAGTTCACTGTTAATTACAAAACCCAGACTAGAAGGCCTTCTAATATGCCCAGAGGTTTTCTTTTATTTTTAATCCTCACCTGAGGATATTTTTCTATTTATCTTCGGAGAAAAGGAGAGTGAGAGAAACATCAGTATGAGAGGGACACGTCAATTGGTTGCCTCCCATATGACCTCGACCAAAGTACATGCCCTTGACTGGAATCGAACCCGAGACTCACTGGTCTGCAGACCGTTGCTCTAACCATGGAGCCAAACCGGCCAGGGCCCAGAGATTTCTTTTTACCTTGAATTTTTGTTTTATTCTCCCCACCACCCTGACACATATCTTTTTATTTTGAACATTTTCAAGTCTATAGAAAAGTTGAAAGAGTAGCATAGTAAATATACAAAGGCTATTTCCCTAGATTCAACCGTTGATAATGTTCTGTCTCATCTGTCTGGTCTCTCTCTGTGCGGGTATGTTTTTCTGAGCCATTGGAATGGAACTGAAGATGTTACGACACTTCATTCTGTTACATGATCCCCGTCCTCTTGTCAGGCCCAAGAAAATAAACACTAACTCAATAACATCATCTAATATATACTCCGTATTTATACTTCCCTCCAAAATATCCTTTATAGAGTGCCCCCCAATCCAGGATTCAGTCAAGAGGCATGCACCGTGCTGCTTGTCACCAGTCTTTTGACAGGTGGCAAAGCTTCCCTGAACGCCTATGACAAAAATACATCCTGTTGTAGTCAGTTAATACACCACCTGTAGTCAGGTTCAGAGGTGAAGTGCCAGCATCTAGAATAAGTGCATCTGTGCCCCAGGCTCACGACAGAGGTTGAAGAGCCCAGGTCCTCCGAGGGCCAGGTCCTAAGAGCCATCAAAGCTGGGTAGCAGTGGGCTCTGCCTTTTCGTGACTCCCATTGTAACACGGACTCAGCCCCCTTGGCTCACGGAGAAGGAGCCTTTGGGCCCGCGGACCTGCAGGCCTGGCTTGAACTCAGTGCCTCCGTCCCCTCCTGCAGGTGGAAAGTAGAGGAAGCCTGCAGAAACTGATCCGCATCCGAAATCCCTGGGGAGAGGTGGAGTGGACCGGGAAGTGGAATGACAAGTGAGGAGGGAAGTCTGGGGGGGAGGGGGTGTGCATCCTGCTGGGAGGCTCTGGGGAGAGAGGGGAGGCAAGCGCACCGGGCTGAGGAATGAGCCCCGAGAGCACAGGCCACACCGAGTGGGACCCAGGGGGCAGGTGGCTGCCCTAAGACTTAACCAGCACATTCCAGCCATCTGGGGGCCTTCTCACAAGGCCCAGGGCTCCTGTGATGCTCCCTCCCTTCATCTCCTCACGCTTCATCCTTCCCTTGCTCAGATTCACCTGCTGTTGGACCCTCAGGGGGGAAATACACCTTTCTTCCCCCAAACACTTGTTCTGTTCCAAGGATGTGAACATGGCTCAAGACCAGAGAGAGTCCCTCTGGTGATTTCCAGGGCTCCCTGGCAGGCCTGTTCCACCTGAAGCCGGGGTTAACTCTCCCAGGAGCCTGTCTCGTGATCTTCCCCCTCCTCCGCCACCGCCCAGCACCTTCTCCCTGGGGCCCCCACAGCAGAGACCCCAGCCAGGGCCTCCAGGTCAGCAGCAGAGGCCAACATGAGCTGCTCCTCATCAGATTGTCCGTGGTCCCTTAAAGTGCTGCCAGCCTACCTGTCCGGGCAGTGGTCTGCGTCTCTCTCGGATGGGCAGTGTTTGCTGGACTCTTCCCTGCTGCAGTCTCCCAGGACCCCATCCTCCCTCTTGCTCCCCTGCACCTCTCAGCCATGAGGGTGTCACTTCCCTCCCTGACTGTGGTCTGGGCCCTCAGAGGCGAGACAGCATGTCCCTGGTCCTCAGTTTTAGGGGGCCTTGGGGAGAAGTCATTGATCACCCTACATTAGTTTCTAATGCATTTCCCATGGCTTGGTTTCCCAGCTGCTCGAACTGGAACACTGTTGACCCCGAGGTGAGGGAGAGGCTGACCAGGCGGCATGAGGACGGAGAATTCTGGTAAGACTATCAGAGGCTTCGGGAAAGGGGTGTGTGTCTGCCCCGGGACCTTTACTAGAACGTTAGTGAGATTATTGTGTCAGGACCCTGGGGAATGGGATCCGGTTTTATTGTTGTTTTAAATCACGGTAAGACCCTGAACAAAAAAAATGTGCAAAGCTCTTCAATTTGCCCATCTCTCCCCCGGGGGTAAAGAGCTGAGCAGTTTCCCGGGGAAGGCTCTGAGGAAGCCCCGCCGTCCTGCGCAGATCCCAAAAGCAAACGGGAAAGACGGGCATTTCTCTAAAGTTCATCCCAACACCTTAAGAAACTGGTCCCTGGGAGAGCGTAATGGATCCGTGTGTGCACACGCGCATGCTCGTGTGTGCATGTGTGTTCGCACACGCCACTGTGACCACCAGCTGTAGACTGCTTGCCATTTACCAGTGAGTGCCTGTATGCTCTCTCAGCCCATTCTCGGGCTCCCATCCTCACCAGCGAGGGCTCAGCTTCAGAGAGGTTTAAGCTCTTGCTCAGAGTCACCAGCAGACAGGGGCGGCACCAGGACTGGAATCTGTGCCCTCCGGTTGTGGACCTGATGGCCATTCGGCCCCGAGGTGCTGTCTCCCGGCTGCTGTGCCTGGCCTTGGTCTAGGACTCCTGGTGTGCCCACCGGTAACCTGGACGCCCGTGTCCTTCCTTTGCAGGATGTCTTTCAGCGACTTCCTGAGGCACTATTCCCGCCTGGAGATCTGCAACCTGACCCCCGACACCCTCACGTCTGATACCTACAAGAAGTGGAAACTCACCAAGTTGGATGGCAACTGGAGGCGGGGCTCCACCGCGGGAGGCTGCAGGAACTACCCGAGTAAGGCCACCGTAAGGCCACCGGAGGCCAGGTCTCTCCTCCCCCCACCCTAACGTGCTACACCGCAGCCTGAGGCCCAGAGGCAGCTCCTACGCACTGGGACCCTCTGTCTTTCTTCTCCCTGGGTCTCCATCTCGACACCCTTTTCTGTTCACTCAGCCCTTCACCTTCTGCCCTCACCTGCCTCCCTACCCAGGCTGAACCCAAGCCTTGTGTTTCTGTGACGTTCTCTCCACGCCCCAGATTCCCTGTACATGGCCTTGCACCACCCCCAGTGAGGCAGCGCTCAGTCCCGCTTCGTGCCCATGGCCTCTTCATGCACCCAGCCCTGCAGGGGACCTCATCCCCCGGGCCTCATGCCCAGGCCCTAGTTGTTGCCCAGCAACCGTAGCACCCATGTTGATGGGCCCTGCTCAGATGGATTTACTTCTCCTCTGGTGCATCCTCCACTGATTCTCCTGACTCCTCGACCTGAAGGCTCAGGCCTTCTCTCTCCTCGCCCCTCAGAAATGATCGAAGTACGATGGCCTCTGCCTGCTGCGGAGCACAGCTGGGCACTGGGGATATACATTCTCCCAGTGAACCCTCCCTTTGGAGGCAGGTCCTTGATTAGCATCTCCATCTTTAAGATGAGGGGACCGAGGCTTGGAGCGGTTAAATGACTTGCCCAAGGCCACACAACTTGCTGGGATCGAACCCAGGCTGTCTGAAGAGTCAGTACTTTAAGTGCTATGGTAGCAGGTCGTCGTCACCTATTGATTCTCTTTCCAGTGAGGAAACTACAGAGCAAGTGCCTCTAGCTCCTCTAGCTCTGGTGTTTTGAATCCTTCACCTCAAGTATGCGGCCAGGCAGTCCCAGAGGTTCTGGGGAGGCCCTGCGCCCCAGACAAAAATGTCTCTCCTGCCCACTGGATCAGGAGATAGGAAATCTTTCTTAAGAGCCAGACAGAAAATAACTTTTGGCTTTGGGGGCCATTCAGTCTCTGGCAACTCCTCCACTGTACTGCTGTAGCCTGGAGGCAGCCATACTTAAATGAATGGGTGTGGCCGTGTTCCAATAAAACTTTATTTACAAAAACAGGCCACCAGCAGCCTGTGGAGCCAGAGTCTGCACCCTGCGCTAGGTGATGCCTTCATTTCCACAATTAGAGTTTTATTCCGTTAGGTAAGGGAAGGCAAGCGGCACAGTTCTCCTCAAACATGAATGAATCTCAGGTCCTTTGTGTAAATGGGTTTTGGAAGTAGGGAGGGCAGAGACACCTGGGGGTGGGCACGGGGACACAGAACAAGAGGATGTTCCTGGTGTCTGTGTTCACTGGGGGGGAGCGGAAGCCAGCCCCCGAGTTTCCTCAGCCAAGCCAGCCAGGCCCTCCTCTGACCTCTCAATTAGAGCCGGGAGGGGAAGGTACCACGAGGGGGTGCCACAGCGCTAACCACCCTGTTCCAGGGGACAGGAACCATCTCCAAGACAAGCCAGCCTGGGGCAAGGGAGAGGGAAATACAGGGAAGTTTCTAAAGTAGGTCCCGAGATGCAGACAAGTGCAGCGGTCCTGTCTCGGCCCACAGTGCCCCTTCCCATCCCTGACCTGACGGCCCCCACCCAGGCTCTGGCCCCTTCCCATCCCTGACCTGACGGCCCCCACCCAGGCTCTGGCCCCTTCCCATCCCTGACCTGACGGCCCCCACCCAGGCTCTGGTCCCTTCCCATCCCTGACCTGACGGTCCCCACCTAGGCTCTGGCCCCTTCCCATCCCTGACCTGACGGCTCCCACCCAGGCTCTGGCCCCTTCCCATCCCTGACCTGACGGCCCCCACCCAGGCTCTGGCCCCTTCCCATCCCTCACCTGACGGTCCCCACCCAGGCTCTGGCCCCTTCCCATCCCTGACCTGACGGTCCCACCCAGGCTCTGGCCTCTTCCCATCCCTGACCTGACGGTCCCACCCAGGCTCTGGCCTCTTCCCATCCCTGACCTGACGGTCCCACCCAGGCTCTGGCCCCTCTTCCCCAGGCTCTGCCGCTGGCGCCCTCCCCTCCCCCCTCACCTCCCGGCCACCAGCTCAGGGCTGGGCTCCTGTGTCCCCGGCCTGACCCAGCCCCTCTCTGGCCCCAGACACGTTCTGGATGAACCCTCAGTACCTGATCAAGCTGGAGGAGGAGGACGAGGACCAGGAGGACGGGGAGAGCGGCTGCACCTTCCTGGTGGGCCTCATCCAAAAGCACCGGCGGCGGCAGAGGAAGATGGGCGAGGACATGCACACCATTGGCTTCGGCATCTACGAGGTGTGTGCCGGGGTGCAGCCCTCCCCCTTCACTGCTCAGCCCCTGAGGAAGGTCACCCCCACACGCAGGACTGGAGACGGGACCCCAATAGGGAGCGTGGCCAAGGAAAAGCAGAGCCACAGGGCCGTCCCTGCCATGGCTCTGTGTCACCGGGAGGTTCCAAGCCCTTGGCTGGACCCCCACTGCCAGCTTGCTGGGAGTCCCACTCTCTCAGATGCCCTCCTGCCCCCAGCTGGTGCTCTGGTTGGCCCACCGGTCTCTGAGACACGGGCAGTGTAAGCTGAGTGTCCTGCACCACGTGGGACACGGCAGGCAGGAGCAGAGCAGCTGGTCAGAGCCTCGCCAAGCGCTGGCCTGGGGCTCAGGACGGAACCATTGGTCCGCTGGAGCCGTTCCCGCACAGACACGCCCCCTGCCCGAATGTCCTCCTTTCTTTCTGCACCACATTCAAGTCCAGCTCGGCCACAGTCCAGGGACAGCCAGCTCTCCCTCTCTGGGGCCCAACATGCTGAGCTCCTGGACACTCCCTCCCCCGCTCCTTTCTGCAGCACAGAGCAGAGCTCACAGCCTCGGTTGCCGGGGGAGAAGGGGGGCAAGGAAGACAGAGCCACTGAAGTGGGGCACGTGGGTGTGACGGGTGGAACCCAGTGACGTGCTGCAGTGGCTGCCAAAGGCCACACGTGCCATCTCCCCAGCCCCACGTTTAGGGAGGCCACCTTGGCAGGCTGGAAACAGCCTTGGTGGAACAGGGCAGTATTTACACCATGGAAATTGGCAAATACTATAGACCAGGACTCCTGCCCTCCCCCGAGGACCAGTTTCCCAGCACAGCACTCAGGAGAAACGCCTCTGGGTCTTCATTTGGTCCCATTTTAGAGCTAAGGAAGCTGAGGTCAGAAAGCAGAAATGACTTGTCCAAGGAGATACAGACAGGATGTGGCAGACAGAAACCTCGAACTGAGGCCAGCTGGCTCCCAGCCCAGAATGCACCCTCCTGGCTGGGCTGCTTCCTCGCTTCCTCCTACAGCAGGGCCCTGCATTCCCGGTGGGAGACGGCTGTGGGCTTTGCTGTGGCCGGCTGGGTGACCTTGGACAAGTCACTTCAAAGCTCCATGCCTCAACTGTATGCTCTGTACATTGGGAATGGTGCCAGGGGCTTATCGACATTGCTGCTGGGTCATAGGATTTTTTTAAATGTGGGAATGGTTTGAGTTCCTTGGGAAATAATGACCGTGTTGACTCAGTTAATACTGCTGAAGCTAGTGAAAGGGGACAGCCGGCGTCCGGCACAGCGGTGGCAGGTCTGCACACATCTTCCCAGCGTCCTAAGAGAGCGTGCACTTCTTTATCTCTGCAGGTTCCGGAGGAGGTACGTCTGGCGTGTGCGAGCCCCTCCCCCTGGCGCTCAGGTTCACCAACAAGTGAAAGGCTGAGACTGTCGGCTCGGGGTTCTTGGGGCTGTGGGCAGGGGCTGGTGGCTGGGAAGATGAGTCCCTGGCCCCTCTAGGGCCCTGGTGAGGTTGCTCAGGTCCTAGATCCTGCTCGTGCGAGCTCAGGGACGGTGTCTCAGGCTGTCCCCGGGGGCTGCTGCCTCCCTGAGGCCTGGCACAGGCCACGTGGGGGTTAGCTCTGGGTGGATGACCCGGGTCCCGGGACCCCAGGAGGCTCTCCCCGAGTCCTGTAGTGCTCTTAGGCCTGAAGGGAGGAGGTGGGCCCTGCGGGTTAGAAGGCGGTGTCGGGGCACAGAAACAGACCTGGACCCAATTCCCTGATTCCTGCCATGTGGATGCTAAGTGTCCCCGAGAGTCACTGAGAGGAAGGTCGGGTCCCCTGGAGCGTGTGCCTCTGAGCTCCTCGGTGGGCGTCTGTCGCTCGGGTAGAAAGTTTGCTGTTTCCCTGAGACGGTGCAGACACTGTTGCTGTCATCCTCTTGTCTGGACACGTGAGAACAGCACCGACGGGCGCCCTGTCTGCCCTCCGTGCCCACTTGTTTCTGCTTATTCGTCAGCTGGCTGGACAGACCAGCATCCACCTCGGCAAGAAGTTCTTCCTGACGAACAGAGCGCGGGAGCGGTCGGACACCTTCATCAACCTGCGGGAGGTGCTCAACCGCTTCAGGCTGCCCCCCGGGGAGTACGTGGTCGTGCCCTCCACCTTCGAACCCCACAAGGACGGCGACTTCTGCATCCGGGTCTTCTCCGAGAAGAAGGCTGACTACCAGTAGGTCCTTCCGCCTCTCGTTTCTCTCCACCCACCCCTTCTTGTCCCGCCGCCGGCCTGTCCCATGCAGAGCTCCTGGCTCTCTGAACATCAGCATCTTTTTCTGATACCTGCCTGCTTCCAAGGTTAGAGCGAGGGTTTGTGGTATTGAGGGACTTTCAGTGTTATACTCAGGTAAGCAAAGGAAACTGCCTCCCAGAATATGGTTAGAAATGGGTGACTGTGACTGTGAGCAAACTGCACAATCTAATGTCACTGAATGGTCATGTTGATTTCAGTGTAATGACCTCTGTTAGACTAGCTAGGAGCCCATCATTTGGAGAAAAGATGACTAGCTGTTATGTAAATGATGTTAGACTAGCTGGGAGCCTCAACCCCTCAACACTCCTGCTGTCCAGGAGGAGCTCCGCACCCCGACAGCACACCGCCCCCCACCTCCACCCCTCAGAGGTGTCCTACTTCTTTGTCCCAGGATATTCATCCCGATTCCATCCGCCAGCACCAAGAGGTCCCTTATCCATTCTTCTTCGAGCGCCGGCACTTCAGATAGGGCGCTTGGGGGCCCCGTTTAAGATCCCAGGGGGCCTGAGGAAGACCCTCCTAAGCGCAGAGCGGTGCACGGGATGAAGTAACCACGCCCGAGCTCCAAGGAGAATTGCACACAGGCCTCCGCGTGTGCACAAGCAGGCAGCGGTGTCGCCTGGTTCTCAGCGTGAACGATTGATGAGGGCGAAGACTTGAATGGAACTGAAAAGCGGTTCTTGGAAGCCAGGGAGCGAGCTGTCTAAGGACCAGGGGCAGGGGGCGCTGCACTGTCTGATGACCAAAACCAGCCAGCAAACCCCCCAAATCTCTGGACTCCCCAACCTGTTTGGCCACGACTCTTCCTCGGGTCACCCTTGTTACCTAGGAGACGTGAAAGAGCTAGGGAGGCGGAGATCCGCTCTGCCGCCCCCGCTGGACTTGATGTCGCTTTCACTGTGGCTGTGATTCTGCAACTCGCCGTCCCCCTCACGCCCCCGCCAGTAACGCGCAGTCTCCCTCTGTTTCCAGGGTTGTCGATGATGAGATCGAGGGCAACATTGAAGAGGTACTTGAAGCTCCTGGAATTCACCCTCTTGTCTTGGACCACCCTGGGCGCAGAGGAGCAAACAGTAGTCCGAAGGGTTTAGGAGGTCCCAGGATTTCCTGGGCACAGCAGGAAACTGAGGCCTCCTAGAGCGCCCCCTCCCTGCACCGGCCCCGCCCCCTGCACCCGCTCTTCCCCGCCCCCGCCCTGGCGGGCTGAGCCCCTGTGCCCGTGGGACGTGGCACAGGATGGGCCCCCGGACAGGCCACCGGCGCTGTTCTGATCGGTGCGAGGCCCTCATCCCTTCCCTCGCTGCGCCTCGCTTTTCTCTGTAAAGTGAAATGGCCCGGGAGACCGGATCTCTGGGGAGACCGGGAGTTGTGATTCAGTGACAGCTCCTGACAGGCTGTGACACAACTCGGAACGTCAGACAAGGCTCCGTCATGACAAGTTCACACACAGGAAGGGACTTCTCCGCCGTCCCGGGCCTGCCGTGGCTGACCACTTGGGACTCCTCAGTCCCTGGAGCTCTGGGCTTGTTTTGTGTCCTCACTGAGAGGCCACACAGCTTCAAAATCCTTCCAGAACATTCCAGCGGGTCTTACCTTCTGGATCCCCCTTAGGGTAGAGCACAAAAGGCCATTTGGTTGAGTGTTCGAGAAGCCGAAGGAAGTGGAGTGTAACTCCTTCCCACGTCGTTTCTAGTCCCTCTCCCGGGTTTTAACTAGAAAAAAGGTATAAAGTGTTTACATTGTCCTTTGTCTCCATCCTAGACCTTCCTGTTCAGGCCCCAAAGCGAGGAAGAAGGGGACTGGGGTGGGGGAGGGGAGCTGCCCTGGAAGAGAGCAGGCACCTGCTCGTCACCCTCCTCGGATCCACTGTCCCCTCACTTGTGTCCCCTTCCAGATCGACATCAGTGAGGACGACATCGATGCTGGATTCAGGAAGCTGTTCGCCCAGTTGGCCGGGGAGGTAGGTGTTCCCCAAATCTCTGTGATGCTCTGGTTGACACCAAGGAAAAGACACTTCGTCCTCAGAGACGTCAGCTAAAGGGGAGAGGAAACCGACTGAGCCAAAGCCGAGGGGAACTGCAGGCGGCGCGGACTCTGCTCGGGTTCCATGCCCGCGTCCCCCAGACCTCTGCCGTCGCAGGCCCCTCCGCTAGTGGTCAGCTCCGACTCTGCCCCTCCTGCCTTCGGCCCTGGGCTTCGCCTTGCGGCTTCTAGAGTTTTCTGTTCCATTGCAACTGAGACGTGAAACTCGGCCCCTCGCCCTTGGTTTCCACCGAAATATTTGGGGAGATAGAAGGGTTTTAAATTTCAAGAATGCCAGCAACGTGCAACAAGTATTGGAGTTCCCTGTTCTTAAAAGAACCCCTCAGCCAGTAGGCCTCATTGGCTACAGTTATTCAGCCCTTTGTCTTCCCACAACTCCAAGAAAAAGCCCATGTTGGTCTTAAACGATGGGCTTGTCCCAATTACTCCACGGATGGGAATGAACAGAGACGCCTGAGTGACTCCTGCGGAGCCGGGAGAAAGTGCCGGTTCTTAGAGACGGTGGGTTCTAACCAGCCTACAGGAAGCCAGAGCTGAGTTGTTAAAGGCGAAGAAGGCACGCTGGTGGGAGGAAAGTGAGAGAGAACAAGACCACAAGTATGGGTAGAAGGGGATTTATTTTTTATATTCTCTACTGCAAAGCACTGGTGAGAGAACTCTACCTGGAGCGCGTTGTATATGCACACACTGAATCTAGGTCAGGGGCCAGCAGCAGCAGCTCCTGGGGCCTCGTTAGAAGTGCGCACGCGTCGACCCCAGCCCAGACCTGCCCAGTGCCCGGCACACGGCTTGGCCGGAACAGCCGTGCAGGACACACGTGCGGCTCGCGGCTCCAAGGGGGCCAATAACAGTGCTCTGCTTGCCTGTCCACAGGATGCAGAAATTTCTGCCTTTGAGCTGCAGACGATCCTGAGAAGAGTTCTCGCCAAGCGTAAGTCTCCCCTCCTTGTAAATCCCTCATCCTGTTGCTTCCCCTGTGGCTGGAAGGAACATGGGAATCCTTCCCTTGTCCTGTCTCCGCTGCTGTGGCCGAACCATCACGCCCTACTCCCACGTGAATGCCACCCACCACTGCCCCCACCAAAGAATTGGTGGAAGGGGGTTCTATGTGATGTGCTTTTCCAAAGAACACAGGTTCCCAGGGTCTGGAGATCAAAGTCACATCCAGGCTTCTACTGCTTACTAGCTTGATGATCTAAACCGGCTTACAGAACCTTCTTGACTGTTTCCTTATCTGCAGGGTAGTGGCGTTACTACTTACCTCTTAAGGATGGTTGAACTGCCCTGGCCGGTTTGGCCCAGCAGTTGGAGCATCGGCCTGCGGACCAGAGAGTCCCGGGTTCGGTTCCTGCTAAGGGCATGTACCTCGGTTGCAGTTTGCCCCCACCTCGTTGTGGTCATGTGGGTGGCAACCACTCGATGTGTTTCTCTGACGTCGATGTTTCTCTCTCTGTCTCTTTCTCCCTCTCTCCCTCCCGCTGTATCTGAAGATAAATGCAAAAATGTCCTCAGGGTAAAGATTTTTTTAAAAAAGAATGTTTGAACTTATTACATGACATAGAAATTAAAGCCTGCACCCCAGAAAAGCTAGTCTGAGTCTTTGGTAAGTAAAGGCGGAGTCAGCCAGGATGATGGGAGGCAGGTGGGAGACCGGAAGCATCTCCAAGTCCCCTGGCTGTAGTAGGATCACCCTGATAGAGTGATGACATCTACTGATAATAAGCCAGACTGGAAAAAAGAAATAGACCATCTTATACTCAAACTAAGGGAATGGCATTAAAAAGCTTCCTCTCCCAAATGTGTGTTTAAAGGAGCCTAATCTGACCCATTCTTTACTGGGGGAAATGTCACTTCATTTGAGCCAACAGGCCAGGCAGGGGCTTCCCCAGAGAATGAACAGACAGGATGGAGACTTGAGGAGGGCTAGAGAGTCATGTTCTCACAACTTTTCCAGCTTGGAATTATTTCTCAAGCACGAAAGATCCAAGGATGGACTGTTCACCTCTGGCTGCTGACCACTAGGGGGTGGGACACACACACACACACACACACACACACACACACTCCCCCCCTCCCCCACCCCCAGTTTGAGTATAAGATGGTCTATTTCTTTTTTCCATTCTGGCTTATTATCAATAGATGTCGTCACTCTATCAGTGATTTCCTACTAAATACAGCCAGGGAACTTGGAGATGCTTCCTGTCTCCTATCATCTGGGCTGACTCAGCCTTTTCTTACCACCCACCCACCCCCCCCAGTCAAAAATCCTTGTATAACTTTTGACTCCCCCAGATATATTTTTGCCCCCAAACTATCACAGGAGCGGTGCTGCCTTTGACAGGATAGCAGCACTGAGCAGGGCGTGTACAACGTCAGCAGTTACAAACCTGGATCAAAACAAACAGGCTGGATGTTGTCATGTCCCGAGCCTCAGCCCTATGGAGGTCTCTGGAGTCTCCCGAGACTAACCCAGGAGACAGAGCGCCGAAGAGTCCGGGGCCAGCTGCGTCTCCATAGATAACTGGCCCCTGCCCTGCAGCCACCAAATGGCTGGGTTAGAGCTGCTGTGAGTCAGAGCCCCACCAGAGGGTGGCCGGGCCAGTCCCATGCCGGGCTTCCCCAAACAGGCCTGGCCTTCGCCTCCCTCTCCAATCCGGACTGAGGACAAGGAGACGGTGTCTACCCGCGGCTGCCAGGCACAAGTGAGGTCACGGGCTCCTCAGATGTGTGGCCGGCATGAGCCCAAGTGGACTAAAGCCTCATTGTTTCCCCACAGATGGCGGAGGGGGTGGAAAATCAGGCCACACTTGGACTCATCTGCTCCTCGCTTCCCTGTGCCTCTGAGCTTGGTCCCCTCCCTCCCCAGCTGCCTGGTGACCCTGTCTTCTGCCCACGGACCCCACACACGGTCTCGCCCATACCCGAGAGGGGGTCGGGGCCCAGAATGGCAGTTTTGAGACGGGCTAGATTTAACCTTTACAAGGACGTGACAAAAACAGTGGGCTTCTCGTGAAGTCTGTGGGAACCACATTCACACGGTGACAAGGGTCTCATACCACCACCTGCCGAGCACCGATGAGACAGGACTCACCTGGCAGAGAACAGGGTCTCAGACAGCTCTGGGCCCTCCCTCAGCTGGCTCAGCGCGTGGGCAGACAGACAGTCCGAGTGAGCCTCTTATCCCGGGGCCTGGCCTCACGAACTCACGTGCCCCCTTCTTGTCCCTGCCTGCCCACCACCTGGAACACCTCAGGACTGTCACTATCCTTCTTCCGTTTACTCTGAAAGCTCTTGTGGGGCCCTGTGTGCCCAAGGCGGGTACACAGAGCAGTCAGGCCGACGTAGCGCCTCTGCAGCCCCAGCGTCGCAGCCTGTGGCCAGACGCAGCTATTTAAAATGACTCGAGTGGCTACCGTGTCAAAAGGTGCAGGCGCAGGCCCGCCCTCGTGGCCGAGAGGTCACTTCAGGATCACGCGGCTCTAGAAGGTTCTCTTTTCACACTCACCTTGTCTCCTAGGCCAAGACATCAAGTCAGATGGCTTCAGCATCGAGACCTGCAAAATCATGGTCGACATGCTGGACGTATCCTTTCGTGGGCTCAGAGAACACGGGCTGGGGGGTCTGGAATTCCACCCCGAGAGACTCAGACACACTGCCCTCCGCAAAGTCCAGAGGTCACAGGACTGCGGTCACTAGGGAACGTGTGTAGCTCCAGAGGAGGGAAAGTGACGTGTCACACGCCCTGGTCACCTCCACAGGCTCAGAACACAGGTCAGCCGTTCCCGGGGCTGGGGCAGGACATTCCAGCAGAGCGTCCACCGCTCTCTGCCCGAAGCGGTTTGTGCTTGTTTCCTGAGTGACAGTGTTTCCACTACTTCCTCTAGGAAAATACACTTGACCCTTGAACAGTGAGGGGCACCCACCCCCACGTAGTCAAAAATCCTCATAGACCTTTTTTGTCCTTTATTGATTTTAGAGAGAGAGAGAGAGGAAGGGAGGAGGAGAGATAGAAGCATCGATGAGAGAGAACACCAACTGGCCGCCTCCTGCATGCCCCCCACTGGGGATCAGGCCCACAACCTGGGCATGTGCCCTGACCGGGAATCGAACCGGCAACCTCCTGGTGCGTGGATCGACGCTCAACCTCTGAGCCACACCGGCCAGGCCTCATATAACTTTTGACTCCCCCAAAAGTTAACTACTAATAGCAGAAGGCTTACCGATAACATAATTGATTAACACCTATTTTGTGTTATATGCGTTATATACCACATTTTTACACGAAAGCTAGAGAAAAGAAGATATTATTTAAAAAAGCGTAAGAGAACATTCATTTTTAACACTGCTCAGTCAGGGCGGGGGACACACATGTTTATTGAAAGAAATCCGCACACAAGTGACCTGCACACTTCAAGTCCATGCTCTCAGGGTGGACAGCTGTGTTCCCTAAACTACCCTGAACTGCGGTATTTCTGATGCGAATGCTGTCTCTGGCCACATGTTCTTGATTTGTGGAGACAGGGCCCCTCCACGAGCATTGTCCGTGCCCTTTGCTCCAGCGCCCTCCTAGGCCCCCCCTGCCCCCAGGCAGACTCATCAAACACTCCCCCCTTGTTCCTGATGCTATTGGGCACAGATGGTCCGTGTTTCTAAGCAGCTCTGTCTAGAGGGCTCACGGCACCCACGGTGTAGCTCCCTTCACAAAAGTCATCTTAGAAATATGCCCAGTAATACTCCCCAAACTGGCAAAGTACCTCAAGTCCTCTGAAGGCCCCCCTTTTAGCAGATATGGGGCCCCCATGGCACCCCCAGAACAGTCAGCGGGGGCCAGCAGGTGTGCCAGCAGGTGTGGTCCCTCAGGAGGGTCCCTCTGCGGACAGAGTGCCCGCAGGAGCGCAGCTGGGAGTCCCCTTAACTGAAGGTAGTCCGACGGCAGCGGCAAGCTGGGCCTGAAGGAGTTCTACGTGCTCTGGACGAAGATTCAGCAGTACCAGGTGCGCACCAGGAGGCCGACAGCAGGGGCGGGTCTGTGTGGGCCCCTGTGCGGGCCTGCGAGGAGCATTCCCGAGGGGCGGGCGCTGGGAGGGAAACAGAAGAGGACTCGGCAGGTTCATTGGTCTGCTCCGGAAATGGGGTCCCCTGAAAGCCACCCTCAGAGGCTGATGGGGGCCCCTCATATTTTAGAGTTTAGCAGGTTGAGTATAAAAATACGTAAGACAGCCCTGGCCGGTTTGGCTCAGCGGTTAGAGCGTCGGCCTGTGGTCCAGAGAGACCCGGGTTCGGTTCCCGCTAAGGGCGCGTACCTCGGTTGCAGTTTGTCCCCGGCCCTGGTCGGTTGTGCGGGTGGCAGCCACTCGATGTGTCCCTTCACGTCGATGTTTCTCTCTCTCTCTCTCTTCCTCTCTCTCCCTCCCACTCTACCTGAACCAAAAAAAAATAAAAATACGTAAGACATGAACATGGGCCCATGGTAGTTGGCGAGTTGACTTGATGGGCAGATGTACAAACCAGCCACCCGGAGAGGCAGACACTGTTAGCTGCCGAAGGCAGAAACGGTGATTCCTCCAAGGCCAAACGGGGGGCACAGAGCTGCAGAAACTCCATCCCCACGCAGGACACGGCACAGAGGGAGCCCGCCGCCTGCCTCGCCTGGGGTCACGGTTCTCACAACTATTTTACATGTTCCAGAAAATTTACCGGGAGATCGACGTGGACAGGTCTGGCACCATGAACTCCTATGAGATGCGCAAAGCACTAGAAGCAGCAGGTGATACTTCACAACCGGGTTTTCTTTGGTCCTGTTTGTAGCGTATGTGATGCACACAATACAACAGAGTTGAGTAAGCTGTGAAATACAGTAGGTGCTCATCTAGTACAAACACATCCTTTTCATCCCCCTTTAAAGACCATTTGGTAAAATAAAATGCAGTCCAGGATGCTTTGCCCACTGAACTATCTTGAACCTACGCTTCCTCCCGGGCAGCCTGGGGGTCCAGCAGGCAAAGCCGTCGTGCGCAGCGCCCCCAGGTGCCCCTTTCGGGTACAGGGCTGGTTGGGCACAAACAGGATGTCTCTGCTCCACTATTAGGGAAGTCCCTGGCAGAATGTGGTTGCGATAAAGGGACACAAGCTCGTAGGGGACCAGCAAAGTGAGAGGCAGGTGTGTTTGGGGACAGACAGGACAGCGTGAGGTTGTTCACTGTATTAGCCGGGACGTGGTGCTGTCCAAAGACCCCAACTAATGGGCTTAAACAAGACACATTTTCTTCTCACTCAACAATCCAAGCCCGAGAAGTTCAAGGCTGGGGGGTGCCTCCTGCTGTCAGGGACCCAGCTGCTTCTGTCCCGTTCTGTCACCAGCCCTAGGGATGTTGTCCTCACCCATGGGGCCGAGGGTGGCTTGCCACCACAACCCCATTCTGGCAGTGGGTTGACTGTAGGAGGGACAGTCCAGCTCATTGCCTTAAGGGCACCATCACTCTGCACACGTGTCCCACTGCCAGAACTTAGTCACCAGGCCTCAGAGGGCTGCTGGGATGCTGGGAAATGTGGCCTTGATTCCAGGCAGCCAAGACCCATTGATAAATCTATTACTGTGGGGAAACAAGGGAAATAATGTTAGTTTCCTATGAACAGCTTCTGCCACCTACATCCAGGAAGAATCTAGTCTCCAAGACAATTCAGAGCGAAACAAACAGGAGAGGGAGTTGGTTCGCCACCTGGAGCAGTGTGACGGTGGAGATGGGGACAGACAGGAAGGGTCTTCCATGTTGGTCAGCAGGAGCCAGGCAGGGGGAAGGGGAACAGTTTGGAAACAATGGCCAGGAGGCCCTGGCTCTGCAAAATCAATGCCGCCTCCTAGGAGACAGCCAAGGGACAAATGATAAGTGTCATTTAAACTGCCTCATCCGCGGTGACCTGTAACCAGAGCCCCAGGCTGCGTTCTCACCCTTAGCCGTTGGTTCCTTGTTCATGTCCCCTCAGGTTTCAAGATGCCCTGTCAACTCCACCAAGTCATCGTTGCTCGCTTTGCAGACGACGACCTCATCATCGATTTCGACAATTTTGTCCGGTGTTTGGTTCGACTGGAAACACTCTTCAGTAAGTGGCCGTCTGGGGAAGACCTGTTTCCGCTCCTACACGCAGACAAAAATCACCGGAACCAGAGATGTGTCTGTCCGGTTGAGAATGGAAATCCTTCTTTCATTTGGGGAAGGAGGGAAGAAATAACAGCTTGTGACATTCAGTAAATCAGCCAGGTAGGGGTGAGATCATGTATCATTGCTGCAGCTCACTCATGGGACATCCTGCTCTCCTTCCCCCACAGGGATATTCAAGCAGCTGGACCCCGAGAACACTGGGACAATACAGCTCGACCTTATCTCTGTAAGTCAGCAGCCTCCACCACGCCCCGCACTCCCATGGGGATGGGGGGGGGCTGTTACCTGGGTGACGGAGACCTAGGGTTTACTGACACGCTTTTTTTTTTCAACTCTTTTGGTCTGTTGGGGTTGATAGGCCTGTAAATGGTTCTAAGATCCCAAAATGCATTTCGATTTGCAGTCTTTACCCAGTTACCTATTGATTCTTTTGTTGTTGTTGCTGATCCTCACCAGGGAATATTTTCCCATTGATTGTTTAGATGGAGTAGAAGGGAGGAAGGGAGAGAGAAACATCGATGTGAGAAAGACACATCCATTGGTTGCCTCCCGCATGACCCCGACTGAGAATGGGGATTGAACCTGCAACCCAGGTATGTGCCCTTGACTGGAAATCGAACTGGAGACCCTTTGGTCCTCAGGCTGATGATCTAAGTGTTGAGCCAAATAGGCCAGGACTGCCTACTGATTGGAGTCCAAGGAAACACACCTGGTCCCTCTTCCCAGGAGTTTGTCGTGAGCAGCGCAAGGCTGCAAGTCTGTCTCAGAAACAGAGACGTTTCTAAGGGCAGATCTGAGGGTTTAGGGAAGACCTGGCTTCTTAGAACAGATCTGCTCAGAATCACTGCTGATGCCCTGGCCGGTCTGGTTCAGTGGTTAGAGCGTTGGCCCGCAGGCTAATGAGTTGCAGGTTTGATTCTGGTCAAGGGCATGCACCTCAGTTGTGGTTCACCCTGGCCCTGGTTGGGGTTGTGCGGGAGGCAACCAATCGATGTGTCTCTCTCACATCGATCTCTCTCTCTCTTTCTCCCTCCCTCCCTCTCACTCTGAAGATAAACAGAAAAATATCCTCGGGTGAGGATTTAAAAATAATAATAATAATTGCTGAGAAAATTACTTTCCTCTCCTTCTTCCTCTTTTAAAATAAAACTGACAATAGTAAATAAGCTTCTCTTAAATAAGTATCGTGCTCATGTGTCTGGATCCCCAGCAATGCCCACTTCTGAAATGCTCATCAGTCCAAATTAAATTGGAACACCAGTGTCACAAAAAGCAAAGCACAAAACGTCCTCTGGTCATCCTGGTAATAGAGTTCTCTCACACCCAAGAAAGAAGCCAGCTAGGATATGCTGGCTTCTTTCATCGGGCACTGGGCAGGGGGCAGCACAGGCTACAAAGGGCTGGGTCAGGTGGCCGTGCTGGGGTGGGGGTGGGGGGGTAACAAAGTCCCACGTACCAGAGAGGAGCAAAGTGATGAGAAGGCAACTCTTTTCCTTCAATTTTGAACTCTAGAGAAAAGCAGCAACTAAATAGCTACTTTATTCTGCTACTCATTCCAAGTGCCTTTCGCCAGCTAAAAATACACTTGAGCTGGTTACAAGTAACAGGAACTTGCTTAAAACTCTGTAGCCTAGGAGATAGCCCTCCCGAGATTTCTCTCAAGTAACAGCAGTACAATGGACATAAACGTGCCATCTGGTACGTTCTGGAAACTCTAGCCCCATTATCATTGTTGCTGGGAACCCTGTTCCTCCCCAGCTCCCACCGGTCCGTGCTGGCCGGCCACCTCGGTCCTCCCTCCCCATTTCCTCCGAGAAGCGTCTTACCCCTGGCTCCCCTCTACGCCTCCCCTTTCCCGGGTCCCTAGAGAGCCCCACGCTCTCGTCCTTCCCTCGGTCTGCAGTGATTTTCAGCCTCGGCTACAGGTGACATTACCTGGCCAGCTCTGTCAAGGTGCTGCAGTCTGGGCCCATCGCAGGTCAGTTCAATCCGAACCTGATTCCGGCTTCCCAGATTCTTCCAGTAGAGAACCAAGGTTGAAAACCACCAGTTTAAGGGATAGCCACACCCCAAACTGACTTCTGATGTCAGAAAGCAGACTGAAAATGATAATCCAGATGTGGTTTCCCATTTCATGTATCTGTCAACCCCATAATACAATCCACGACCACCTGCTTCAGATAACAGCTTTTTACGAACCTGTAAAAAACTAGACTGGAAATCAGGGAGAAAGAATGTGAGTCAGCACACTGTGTCTTAACCCTCGCTCAGCTCTTCTGATACAACAGCCAGTCTTTCAGAATAATCTCCAGGTACTTAAATAGCCTTTAATTTGAAAAATAGTCACTGATTTTTTTTCTTTTGTTTCCTTCCTCACAGTGGCTCTGTTTTTCAGTACTTTGAAGTTATAATGTAACCTGCGTGAAGACTTCTCATGGAAGAAAATCAGCCACGGACTAAAACTTTTTATCTGGACCTTGATTATGGGAACATTACTTAAACTGATTATTATAGCTGAACATAATGATACCATTTGAAATAGGGAAAGATCTGCATATCAGTAGACTAAATTCGCGTGAGTTGCTTAACCCTCAAAGAGAGCTTTCAATCTGTAAATAGTATACACTTTTTACTTTTACACAGTCCCGTTCAGAGCGGTATCGATCGGGAAACGTGCAGGAAGGTATTTACCAGCTGAGCAAATACTCAGGCGAGCTCAGAGGAACCGGGGTCCTTGCTGGGAATATTGAAAGCAACATCCAGTGGGAAAATGCAGCATTTCCGAAACAGCAGCGCAGGGCTTTTGAGCAAAATCGAGACTAGGAGGGTCACGAGGTGGTGGTGTCGAGGCATCTGAAGAATCCAGGTGAGAAGGAGACACGGGTTTTATTGAAGCTGATTGGTTAACAGTAAATCTTGTGAAACTCAAGGCCTGGAGTGTGTCTGGTCTCACATGCCGAGTGTTATAAATGCCGAAGGGAGTCCACACGTGTGCAAACCGAGTGCCCACGACAAGCTGTTTGCTGCCTGCCTCTAACCCGCACCTGGCCGCCCCCAGCGTCTGTGCATGGCGTGGGGGACACACACAGGACACCCGTAGAAACAACACAAGCTCGTTTCTCGGCTTTTCCTTGGGGCCCTGCTAACTCTATAAAATACTGCCTTGTTGCCTTACCTTCTGACAAATGTACTGTTAAATAAAGTCACCTGGGCAAGCCCCCGTGGCGTGCTGTCCTTCCTGGGGGGGCCCTCGGGGGGCGCCCCGTTTGCAGCCTGTTTCCTCTTTAACAAAGCACAACACCTCTAAATCCCCATATTGGGAGGAAAAGGCAGCTGTCGCTTCAATGTGGAACTATACAGTTTTTTAAAAACTCAATTCAGCCCTGGCCAGTCTGGCTCAGCGGTTAGAACGTCGGCCCGTGGACCAATGAGTCACGGGTTCGATTCTGGCCAAGGGCACGTACCTTGATTGCGATGCGTCCCCAGCCCTGGTTGGGGTCGTGCAGGAGGCAGCCATTCGATGTGTCCCTTTCACGTGATGTTTCTCTCCCTCTCGCTTCCTCTCTCCCTTCCATTCTATCTGAACAAAAATGGAAACAAAGTCCCCAGGGGAGGATTTAAAAAAGCCCAATTCGGAGGCTCCAGTAATTGACCTTCAAGTTGGCGCAGCTCCTCTTTCTACTGCTTCGTGGTGTCTGGAGGCGGCGCAGGCCTTTGACCTGCTTCGCCTGCCCCTTGAACTTCACTTTGGCTGGCGCCCCCTGTGGGAACGAGGGAGCTGGGAGTACGGGCAGCTGCACTGCTGGTCTGCTGTCAGCGGTCCTGGGGAACCACAAAAAAATGGCCAGGGTGTGGTACGACTCAAAATAGGTAAAGGCCAGCCTCATATTTCAGGAACAGAGAGCAAACGGGTTCCCCAAATTCAACTCAAATGAGTTTACATCCTGCCGAGTGGGGTTTGAGGGCCCAGAGACGACCAGGAAGATGAACGACCAGGTGACCGTCTCCATTCAGCAGCTCAAGGTTAGGACAGTCAGACGTTGGGAGTGACTAAGGACTGAAGGTAGACGAGGGGGTGTGGCCCGGGGATCGGGGAGTTGAGGATGGTGACGAAAGTGGGTGAACAGAGATGCCCCAATGTTAATACTGGTCTCCACACCCCCAACTTTATAACCCTTTTTCTGTGCTTTTCAATATTTCTACAAGGAGCTTTGAAATAAGGACACTTTTAAAAGGGAGACCGAAAACAAATGATGTTCAAACTGTATGACTAAAAAAATACAAGTGAGATGATCATGTTTTCCTAATTTGCACATCTTCCCTTTTCACGTATTTGTGCAATTCTTTAATTTACCAAGTACCTTCGCACACAGTACCCAGCACGAGTTTCCTCACTGGGTGCCGTGCGCAGAGGTATGGTGTTCAAGTCCACGTCCGATGAGGCGGCGGCGGCTTGGTGGGAGCGAGCGTCCCGGCAAGGTCACGTGGTGGACCAGGACGTGCGCCAGCCCAGGGCGAATCCACGTGGCTTGATTTCCCACTGCTGCAGTAACATGTCGGCACACACTTGGAAACGTCCCTTACGTTACCCCACCGTGCGGCAGGCGAGAAGGCCAACACCTGTCCCATCAGGATACCCGGTTCCTACCGGAGACCGAGGACGACCCAGCCCACTCAGGTTGGCTGGATTCAGCTCCGCGTGGCTCCAGGGCTGGGGCTGTCAGCCAGGGGCTTGTCGGCGTCCCCTTCCAGGGGCCAGGACCCCCATCACCTTCAGAGCCAGCGACGGCAGGTCGAGTTCTCCCCACACCTCAGACCTCACAACTGCCCCTCTGCCTCACCTCTCCTGTTCTGAAGCTCATGTGACCACTGGACCTGCGGGGACAATCTGGGATACTCTATTTAATGTCCATTGATTAGTGAGTTTACCTAAATCTGAAAAGTCCCTCACAACAGCCCTCAGTGTTTGACTGGATAACCAGATGTCTCAGTCAGCCGGGCTGCTCTAACAGATGCCACAGACCGGGTGGCTTAAAAACAGACATTTATTTCTCAAGGTTCTGGAGGCTGGAAGCCCAAGGTCAAGGTGCGGCAGATTTGGTGTCTGGTGGACTCTCCTGGCTTGCAGGTGGCGCCTTCTTGTCGCCGCACATGGAGGAGAGGGGACTCTGACTCCTCCACAGACGCTGATCCCATCACAGCCCTGCTCCACCCACCGGCACACTGGGCTTAGGGCTGCGACGCGAATTTCAGGGGGACACGAACATTCAGTCTCTAGCACCAGGGGTCAGGAACATGTGTGCTTGTGTGTGCTGAGGGTGATCTTTAGAATTCTGTCTACACGCATGTCTTCTGACATTTATTAGTTCACGTTGTCAACAATTTCTCCCTTCATCCTCCTTTCTTGCTAGAATTTAGCTACTCATAAAAGTATATAAGGAAAAGTGACCACTGTTTTGTTTTCCATTTGTATCTTCTATTAAATAAAATAGTTCCACTAAGCAAAATGGATTCCAAAACAATCCATAAACTCGGTAACGTAATAAAACAATGTGGAGACTCTAAGTTCCCATCCCATTAATCAATATCTATAACTCTACGAAGAAACATGAAACTGAGAACACAAACACCATGGTCTCTAAGATCTTTAAAAAATTAAAATAATTTAATTCTCTATCAAAGACATCACAAAACTCAAATTGCAAAACTTAAGGTTTTCTGTAAGCAGAGATACTTCTGTTATAATCACATGACTGGTAAGGAGATCTTATTTTTCAGCTGGGTAAGAGATCTCAATGACTCGTAAACCCTGAACAAGGCTATTTATGTATGACATGAAAAACTAAAACCAGAAAAAAGCACAGAGTCAGAAAGTTTAATTTTATTACAACTGTTTTGAAAGTCAGCTACGATCTTCACAAGTATGATGGGCAAATCTATAACAAGTCTCTAATTTCCAAGATACAAAAGGCAATAAATATAGATTCAAATTCAGCCTAAAAACAAGCTTCTAAACCTAATTATCTGTAGTGTAGCTTGGTTTCAATATTTCAAATATATGTATAATTCTTAAAATGCTACAAGAACTCGTAGGACGAAGTTATTGCTCACCGGCTGCCACTAACCGTTCTTGGCTGACAACGTACACGTGTGCGGCACCCCAAGCCTTCACGCGAGGCCCCGGGGGCCTGTGGTGCTGGGGGGCGATCAGAGGTGGTGCCACGGGGACACTGGTCCTTTCTGGCTGGAGGACAGGCCCAGAGGCAGGTGCTGAACAACTCCAAGCAAACACGGCACGAGGCTGATTTCCCAGAAGCCCAACGGCCCTATTTCTTGTGGAAACAGGTTGGCACCGGTCTCTTTCTGAGTGCTCCTGGGAGCACCGCCCCGGCGCAGCAGGTCCGCCTACTTCCAAGTCCCATTTCACGGTGCCCAATGTCCTCCCCTAGCAGTGAATCCTTCAATCCTTCATTTGCTTCCAGCGCACATTCTCCGTGGCTTTCAAGTTACACTGTCATTGAAGTAAGTCTTGTAAAACTTGTGCCCAAAACAACCATATGACTTCTTCTTCGTGATAACAGATTAATTCTTCATTAACTACAATTCTATCAAGTTTTAGGCCAAGCTCCTTTGTCTGGGTTTAATCCTCGGATACAGCTGTAAGAGAGTTTATGAAACATTTACACACAGACATGTGGGAGCACAAGACCTCAAGAAACACAAGGGGGCGGCTGATGGGCCGGGCGAGATGAAGCTAAGGAAAGGGCTCCCCTCTGCCCAGGGAGGCACCAGAGCTGCCTGAGGACACAAAGCTTCACACTTAGCCACTCTCCCCATCAGCTCTCCTGCAAGGACACTCAGAAGTCACAGGGTCCCTAACTGTGACAAGGGCACAGTGCAGTGACAGAAACTCCACAATGCTCTCGGCATGAACTCGACCCGCACCGCTTGCAGCCTGGAGAGCAACCTACCTGCAAACTGCAGGGGCCTGGGACACGCTGTGCAAACTGCGGGGGCCCTGGGACGTGCTGTGCAAACTGCGGGGGCCCTGGGTCGTGCTGTGCAAACTGCGGGGCCCTGGGACGTGCTGTGCAAACCGCGGGGGGCCTGGGACGTGCTGTGCAAACTGCAGGGGGCCCTGGGACGTGCTGTGCAAACTGCGGGGGCCCTGGGACGTGCTGTGCAAACTGCGGGGGCCCGGGACGTGCTGTGCAAACTGCGGGGGGCCTGGGACGTGCTGTGCAAATTGCGGGGGCCCTGGGACGTGCTGTGCAAACCGCTGGGGCCCTGGGACGTGCTGCTTGATCCTCCATTTCGAGGGAAACAAGAGGTTAAAGCCCCTTTCAACTTGATTCAAGTGGACACAGCGCCGTGTCATGGGACTCGAGGCTGTCAGGACCGAAATGCCACAGACTAAAGGTCCACAGATTGAAGGGAGGATAGTGGAGTGTTTGTTTAGGGTTTCGTGGGTCTGGGTTTCCCACAACAAGAGCTGGAGGGGAGTGTGTACGTGAAGGTCACCGGATCTCCAGTGGAAGCCAAGGCAGGTGAAGCTAGTCGTTCAACTGGCAGACCACACAAGTCCTCCCCTCCACTTGCAAAGGGAAAAGGGTTTTACTGAGAGAAAGTCACACTTCCAGCTGACACTGAGAAACTAACTGGAGGGTGAGCGTTACATAAAGGGTTCTTTTCCTCTCTGAGGAAAGATCAACCAACACAGGCTCATTCTGAGCCTCTGACTAAAATCAACATTTATACAATTTTTTTTTAATTTCAAAGAAAGAAACAACAATGTTGCGTGGAGGCTGCTTCTATCTGGAAAAGATCTCCGAAGGACCGCCTGGGTGAACGCGGGGCCCAGCCACGGCCTCGGGCCGCAGCCACATTCTGGCGGAGCCCCGAGCTGGGCCGGCCACTCCACACTCGAGCGACCACTGCCCCCAGTCACCACCGAGGCCGCTTCGTCAGAGACTGAAATAAGACCCTAAAAGCAACCAGCTCTCCAAGGTAGAGCCTTTGTCAGGTAAACTGTGGACGTCACAGTGTTGCTTCGCTGACGTCCATTCAAGACAAAAAGTGGCGCCCAGACATCACACCTCTCCGGCGCCAAAGACTTAGCAGAAGCAAAGGGGCGTTCGCAAGAGAACCACGTCTGTCTTTCTACTTTGTCAGTAACTGCAAAGCCTTTTAAAGGGCTCCATGGCCCGGCCGGTGTGGCTCAGTGGTTGAGCGTCGACCCATGTACGAAGGGGTCACCGGTTCGATTCCCGGTCAGGGCACATGCCCAGGTTGTGGGCCCGATCCCCAGTGGGGGGCAAGTGGGAGGCGGCCGATTGATGTTCTCTCTCCTCGATGTTTCGATCTCTCTCCCTCTCCCTGCCTCTCTCTCTAAAAACGAAATCAATAAAACATTTAGAGAAAAGGGGGCTCCATGGCCTGATTTTTTTCACCCTCATCATTCTCTGTAATTCACATTGTGATCACATGAAGAAATCCTGTCTGTCTAACATCAATGTGCCATCACGGAGGCAGCCGTCAGGACGGATGAAGTCATCCGTGCTGCAGTCACAGAACACAATGGAGAAGGGAGAGTCAGGAGAGGAGATGTGGTCACTCCAACCAGCTCAGCAGCAAAGCCGACAGCCTGGGGCACAGCCTCGGGCCGGACTAGCAGCTTCAGTGGGCGCAGACCATGTCTGTCCAGCAGCTGATGAAAACACCAGTAAAACTCCCTCCCTGCTATATATTAGACACCCGCTTTATCCCGTCTTCGGAGGCGAGCTTCTCCAGCCCCCCCACCTTCCCCCGCCGCCTGGTCGCCCAGGTCCCAGGGCTCAGGGCAGGTGAATGACCGGGGACCGGCGCCCGTCTGCATGCTGCACACCGCAGGTCACAGCAGCCTGCCCGCCCGCAGACTGGCCTTACTTCCTCACCGCCAGATCTGCGAGCACTTGTATCCCAGCCTCTCAACTCAGTAAGACTCGGGCAAAGTCCCGAGAGCTGTTACTTCCTCTGTCCGACCACACCAGCCTTTCCCTGAAAATACTCCCGAGAGTCTTTACCTGATGACAACCCTCCCTTCACGTCGCTGGTTTATATGATCTTACTATTTCTTGGTTTTTATGAAACTTACTTCATGCCCTGTTCAAGCTCACTACCAGATTTGCAAATCCCGATTTAGACAAACGTAAAACGTATTTCAAATGTCACAAGCTCGATGCCCCTCACATTAGCCGGTTATCTTTACTTGTAAGTGTAGACAGGAGCCCTGACCTCGAGGGGCTGGCAAACATACAAATGGGCCCTTGGTCATAAACGGGAATCACTGAAAACCTATGATCGAAATGTAAATCCCATGTCTCGTTAACCCAGGGCGGTCACCTGCACTGCGTCCATCCCCCAGGGTTTTCGCAAAGGCCCTCTGACAGCACGACCCCCACTCACCCCCAGCAGGTTGCGCGGGACGTAGCCCTCCTGCTCGTTCAGGCGTGCCCACCACCACTCAATCTCGTCCTCGTCCTCCCTGCGGACGATGGTCATGCAGTCTCCTTCCTTCATGGGCAGCTCGTCGTCATGCTGAGGCTCGTAATCCCAGAGCGCATAAATGACCCCTTTGTTCATTATGCCCATTTTCTCCTGAACACCTACAATCAGGACAGTAAGAAACAGCACCCTTCAGAATGTGTCGCTTTACGAAGCAAGGGAGCACGAGGGATCCATGCGGGAACGTCCGCACTTACTCCATTAAACGTTCAGTACGTGGATTTCCCGGGCAGGGGAGGGGCGCGTGGTCAGCAGAGCAGAGGGACAGACAGAGACAAGTTCCCCATGCTGCCGGCCCTAAAACCGCTCCACACACTGACAGACACCCGAGCACCTCTCAGAACCAGTCTGATGCAGAGCACAAAGACTTTGCAAGCCCAGGAATATAAAGAGAACTGTTCGAGTCTAGGACATTAAAAAAGTGAGCAAGCCTGGCCGGTGTGGCTCAGTGGTTGAGCATCGACCCCTGCACCAAGAGGTCGCCAGTTCGATTCCGGTCAGGGCACATGCCCAGGTTGTGGGCCCGATCCCCAGTGGGGGGCCTGCAGGAGGCGGCCGATCGATGTTCTCTCTCATTGATGTTTCTCTCTCTCTCTCCCACTCTCCCTTCCTCTCTCTAAAATCAATAAAGAAAAAAAATTGTTTTAAAAAGTGAATGATATGCCCTTCAATTTCAGCCGCCTCGTAAGTATAATGACAAGGAAGTCTGCAAACATGATTATCTCATTCTCGCCCTAAAACTCGGAGCAGACAGAGAAAAAAGAGCAGAAATGCGCATCTATTATAGTAAAGTGCTCTCTATCGATTTCCAACCTGAATAAATCCCTGGGCACAGCGCTGGGCACAGAAAGGGTTCTCTAAAAAAATCAATAGAAACATTTTTTTTTAAAAAAAAAGCTGACTAATGCCTGTGATCAAGGCGGCCCTACTTCTGGTACCTAAGACTATGTACAAAACAAAAATGTTCTTCCAAATAATAAAAACACTGATCGCACTACAGCCCAGAGATAGCAGCAGGAGGGATCCGCAGCGTGACCGGCGCAGGCAAACCGCGCGCACACACCGTACAGAAACTGGGAGCACTGCGTGTAGCCCTCCTCCATCTCCTCGCACTTGTCCGCGGCCGTCTGCATGTCGCTGTAGGTCATGGCGAACACCGCAGCTCCCGACTCCACCAGAAACTTACACACTTGGACGTTGTTACAGGAGGCAGCGCAGTGCAGCGGGGTCCTGTGGAGTGAGACATGGCAAGGGCTAGAAAGGTTTTCCTTTCGTTGAATGGCACCTGCTGTGAGAAGGTATCTGCAAAGAAAGTTCTTGACTCTATCATCTACCAAGCCCTTTCTTCTGAAGACTGTTTCAGTTTCTTTTAAGTCAGTTACACACAGACACGTGAGCCCGTTAGAGAATTGCAGCCACAGAGAAAAACAGAGGAGTACTGGACTATGTGGGGCTGGGGCAGCGGGGAGGGGGATCAAGGAAATGAGTGAAAAAACATGAAATTTGTGCAATAATCTAAAACAAGATAAAATGTATTAGTTCAATGCTCTGAAGCAAACAACATAATTATTTCTGCTGGAGTAAAGGACACAACGGTCTTTAAACTGAAGACCTTCACTCAAAACACGTGCCATTATCATCATCAATTTTGAAGGAATTAAGTTGCACATAGAGAATTACCTTTAGTCAACATTTTTAAAAATCCAAATTACCTGGCCGGTATGGCTCAGTGGTTGAGCATCGACCTGTGCACCAAAAGGTCACCAGTTTGATTCCAGGTCAGGGCACATGCCTAGGGTGTGGGCCCAACCCCTAGTAGGGGGCATGCAGGAGGCAGCCAATCGATGTTCTCTCATCGATGTTTCTATCTCTCTCTCCCTCTCCCTTCCTCTCTCTCTAAAATCAATAAAGAAAAAATCTTAAAAAAAAAATTAATAAAACAAAAATCCAAATTAAGTTTTAATTTAAAATCATTTCTGTCAGTTTGATTCAGACCCTCAGTGACTGTAGAATGTACACATTTCAGTCTGGGCTGGGCACCTGCTTGCAGGAACTATAGTTATTGACACATTACTGAAGCTCTTCTGCAACACCGCAAATGCTCTATAACGCATCACAGTCACCCCAGAGTAATATGAAATGCACACATTTTAATCCACTTAGGCCACGGGTCAGCAGGAACTAACCCATTAATACTGTTGCAGAGAATCTTTCCCAGCATCACAGATGTTCTATTATGCATCAGAAATGACCCAGAGTAACAGCAAAGGTGTGAGCAGGGCCAGGACCACTGACAAACTCAGAAGACGGGCTTGAGAATTTTAATCGGGCCCTAAAGTACATACGATTCCGTTTCTTTACCCTTTTCTTCCCTACCCTCTTCATTTTATTCCCCTTGGGTACATAACTTTAAAAAAATTGGACTCCCGTCCCCGATCCAGACACTATCACTAGTGGTCTAGTGAGTATCACTCCCGATGTTTTCGACCGCATGGCCTTGCAATAGTGAACAATTATATAGAATCTGAGCTGCCAATATTAGGAAAACTAGGACATTATCACACATTAAGAATTTATTTTGCAAGTTAAATTTAAAAATTACACTAAAATGTCATGTATATGTACAAACTTGAAGGGAGAATATTAAACTATTACTGATGTTTTTACTGCCTCTGTGGAGTACAAACGGCTTGCTTTCCTCTTCTTATTTCTCTATTCTGTCCATTTCCCACAGTGAGCATACATTACTTTTATAACCAAAATGCTTCTCCAAATATTACATATAACAAAGAAAGGAAAAAATCAAAATGTCTAACGAGGGAGACAGTCACAATACACGAGCACATAGTTGTGGTAGAATATGATGATACTTCAAATTTGTGTATACAGCCCTGGCTGGTTTGACTCAGTGGTTGGAGTGTTGGCCCGGGGACCAGAGAGACCCGGGGGGTTCAGTTCCCGCTAAGGGCACGTACCTCGGTTGCAGTTTGTCCCTGGCCCCTGTTGGGGTCGTGTGGGTGGCAACCAGTCAATGTGTCTCTCTCGCATTGATGTTTCTCTCTCTCTCTCTCTTCCTCCCTTTCTCCCTCCCACTCTATGAAGATGGTGCAAAAATGAAAGAAAGAAAGAAAGAAAGAAAGAAAGAAAGAAAGAAAGAAAGAAAGGAAGGAAGGAAGGAAGAAAGAAAGAAAGGAAGAAAGGAAGAAAGAAAGAAAGAAAGAAATTTGTGTATATGGCTTGGCCGCTGTGGCTCAGTGGATTGAGCGTCGTCCCATGGACTGAGAGGTCCCTGTTCGATTCTGGGTCAGGGCACATGCCTGGGTTGTGGGCTTGATCCCCAATAGGGGGCGTGCAGGAGGCAGCTGATAGATGCATCTCTCTCACATCAATGTTTCTATCTCTCTCTCCCTTCCTCTCTCTAAAAATCAATAAAAAAACATATTTCAATTGTGTATATGTCTGCATGACACATGTACACATGTAGATTTGGTATTACAGCATAAATGTTTTCCATATAAGAGGAAAAAACAGGCTATAAAATTAAAATGCTTCATTAAACATAGTGTGATTATAACTTTCTAAAAAATCCTAAATAGAAAAAAACTAACGTTTTTTGTAATCTTCCAAAAAAGAATATAATTTTTCAAAAAACTAAAATGCAAAATTTACTGTCCATTCTATTACAGTTATTGGAGGATGACAGTAACTTATTAGCGTCTTTTTTGTTAGTATTTATAATGACCCATTATCCTATGACAGAACATTCATCATGAATAACTCTTGTGTTTTACGCACACAACGGCCCCACAAGATGCTTCATGAAAATGGATTCCAAGGTCAAATATACTAGGAGGAGATCACAAATCACGACTTTTCCCTTCTTGGCGACAATGGACATCAGTATACCGAAGACTGGAGAAACTTCAGGTCATGGCAGGGGAGGGGAAACGGCTTAAATCAGCTTCTCAAATCTGCTGAAGCGCGGTAATTAACTGTGTACCACTCTGCGACATCTTATTTTGATTATTTAAATACTAAAATTTTCAAACTCCTGCTTCCAGAATGGGAGCGAGACGCCTGTTACAGGAGGACAGGTCAATTCCTCAGACTCGTCTCCACCTTCCTCCTCCTAGGGAACAGGCGGCATGACATGAGGACACACAGGACACACTTCCCACAGGGCACGGCCCTGCTCACTCGCTGCCTGCAGCAGACACCGCTCGTGAGAGCAGAGCCGCGAGGAACCTTACCACCCGTCACTGTCGGCAGCATTGACGTTCACACCAAACTGCACCAGGAACTTGACGATCTCCGTGTGGCCGGCGCACACGGCGTTGTGCAGAGCGGTGATGCCTTCGTCGTTAGGCAGGCTCGGGTCCTCCACCTAGAGCATCAGTAAGAAGGATGTGCGTGACTCGAGTGTCTTGACACCTCGACTGTCACTATTTACTGGCTCTTTAGGATCATGAGAACAGAAACAGAACTTGTGTTATTTTTTTTTAATCATAATTAAAACCTACAGGACCCAAGAAAACAAGACCTAGAACAATTCTAGAAATAAGGTAGACAAAATAGCCACATTAAGTAGGCACTCTATAAAAAGTTTTTTAAATTTTGAAGAACCAGAAACTATATCTTTATAGTCGTTTTTGTTTATTTATCCTCCAACTTCCCACCACAAATTAGTGTCTAACTAGAAGTGACATTTTCAATGGAAAGAAGAAAAGGTCAACTAAAATTATTTTAAATAGCAGGCTTCTGAAAAGTAGGGACCGCATCTATAATTTAACACAGTCTAGTATAAACCCACACAGGAGCAATTTTTACCGGAGAGTAATGATCTCCCTGAGAAAGGAAAGGACTCAAGAGGACCTCAGTGAAAACTAAACATCTGCGTTTCAAACATGTTATACCTTGAGAACAGTAAAGCCTTAAGAGTTTCTCTCCACAACCCCACCCCTCCCCCCAAAAAATTTAAAAACACACTTTCTCTATTGCAGCTTTCTGATTAGAGCTTTAAAGCAAACTGGAAGGTCGTGTTTAAGAAACGAATTCAGTCATACCTCATAAATAATCCTCTGTACAAGGTCAAATTCTCCCTCCAAAGATGAATCTAGAAGCAAAGCGAGGGGGTTGAATTTCACCCTCATTCCATGAGCAATTCTCTCGGAACCAGTTTTACGTAAGTTGGTCCTTTTGCCCTGCAGAAGAAAAGTGTGGGAAATTAAGGACCCTGGTCTGACCAACAACAAAAGGGGAAGAATTATGTCTCAACTGAGTTGGTAAAAGACACTTGCAAAATATATTTAGCCCTTTTCAGTAAAGTGTAACATTATTCAGAAAAGTACATAAATCATAATAGCTTAAGGAATATACCCACATGACACAGTGGAAAGAACATCACTTTGAAGCCTAGTGAAATACATCTGGTCATCCATTACGGCACGAACTGAGCTAAGAGGACCATCTCCAGTGACAGGTAGGCTGGTTTTCTGTCTAGTATCAAAACTAGTCAAGACTAGTCTTTAAATGACCTACCCAATATAGTACAGCAAACCCCGCCCAGTTCAACTGGGGAAGAGCACAACTTGGAATTATAAGAGCCAGTGAACAGCTGGCTAGAACTCAAAGTCAAGTACTCTGGCTTCTTTGAAGCTCTTCCTTTTCACCATTTCACAACATAATGCCTTCTTACAGGGAAAACCCGTAATTAAGGTAAACAAAAATTAGTCTTATATATACCAATCCTACCAGCCTTAAAATGCGGTCACTATTTTATATTAAAAATTTAACTATACTTGAAGATACATAAGTAAATTAATCAAGTCTTTCAACATTTTAATGTCAGGCTTTAAACAATAAGGCAAAATTGTTAAGACTAGATCTAAGAACCTATAAAATAGGTTTTTAAACACATCCAGCAACAACAAAAATCTCCTCCTATGGTGTGATCTACGCTATTTTATTTCAGATGGAAAACTACTGATTTCTGAAAAACATTAAGTGGCCATCAATATACTTCACAAATGTGTAGTGTTATTTCTGGGGGAGGAAGAAGTGTAAATATGATATGACTGTGTTCATACAACTCATAAGGCCACATGCACACTCACTTTCAAATAAAGGACAAGACGGCAGCTTCAACTTATTTCAACAGAACAGGAACAAGTAAGTCACTTCTTTAGGAAGAGAGTAACATAATCCTTACAAGAAAGCTTTTTTTTTTTATCCTCACCCGAGGACATTTTTTTTCCATTTTTTGTTCAGATGGAGTGGGCAGGAGGGAGAGACAGAGAAACAGTGACGTGAAAAGGACACATCGAGTGGCTGCCACCCACATGACCAACCAGGGCTGGGGACAAACCACAACCGAGGTACGTGCCCTTAGCGGGAACTGAACCCGGGTCTCTCTGTACCGCAGGCCGACGCTCTAACCACTGAGCCAAACCGGCCAGGGCGAAAGCATAATTTTTTTAAAACTGAGGTTTCCTTTCTCCTTTTTGAAAGGAATTATTTTGACACAAGAAAAAGGGAGGGGAAATAAAAGTATATGTTAAAACTTCGTTCCTTTTTTCTCATGTTAACACTCAAATGGAGAGAATCACTTAGAAGGCACAGAGCTGTGTAAAAAGTGTTAACGGCCGCCCTGGCCAGGTGGCCCAGTTGGTTGGAACGTTGTCCTGTGCACCAGAAGGTTGCAGGTTCAATTCCCAGTCAGGGCACGTACCTGGGTTACAGGTTTGGTCCTTGGTAAGGGCTTGATGTTTCTCTCCCCTGGACGTTTCTCTCTCTCTCCCCACTTCCCTCTCTCTGAAATCTTTTTTTTTTTTTAAAGTGTTAACCTCTATTTTAAAACTTTTCCTAGAATCCAATGTTTACTATATAAAACTTTGAAGCACATCTTTGCTATAACCAGCAGCTAAATTTAGCAACTCTGGATAATCATTATCTTTGAATACTGTCACATCGAAAAGCTGTGGTAAGGAATCAAACATAGAAGGCCCTTTCTTCAAAAAGCCTTACAATATGCTATTTTGCTTTTGACCAGGTTTTAAAAATTCATAGCTTGGCATCCTACTGAAACAAAAAATGACTTCAAATTACACTCTGAAAAAGCCGACTTTACAAAGACAATCTGGAATTTTTATCTTCTCTCATCTGCTTCAGTGACACGATGACCTCCCAGAACAAAGCTGGCACGTGGCGGAGTGTGAACGGCACGGCCAAGAAAACACACAAAGCTTCAGAGTAACCTGGGACGTCAGGAAGAACCTGCTTCCGAGGTTTCCACACTGTGCGGAAGGTAAAGAGGAGGCTAAGTCGGTGTCCAGCCCACCCTGCACCCACTTCATCCAGAACCCTTCCACCGTGATCATTGGTGAAAGTGGGGGGGGCCAGTCACATATCGCATTAAAAATCTACTTCACTGCTAAAAAAAGTTTGAGTGATATCACCAATGAGAGAAGCTGAACCACCTGCCTGACTTCACAGAGCTAAACTGGCGGACAGATGCTTCAAATCTAAGGCTTCTCATTCCTAGTCGAGGGATGCTTCCCTGGTAGGTGACATCAGCCAGAGAAGAGTGAGCGGATGTGGTATTTACAGGTATAAGAAAACTGTTTCCTTCGCACAAAAAAGAGGTTCTGCTAAACAGTTAAAAATGTACTTCCTACTGAGCATGTTGCACTCCGACATTTATAAAATCTGCGCCAAAGGAAATACAAGTACAAAGGCAAACTGCAGGACACACTGACTGGCACTTCGCTGAGTTTCGACAATCGGCACCTACAAGAGTGACCAGGCCCCCGAACCGATCATGAGACCCCACGTTACTTACCGGGGGCAGAGACACCTGCCCGGTGATTTCAGGCGGACGCATGCTCCCCGCATCTTCTCCGGGCCCCTCTGGTTCCCCCGATGGGTATGGCGGCGGAGGGTAGGGGGGATACTCCTCCAGGTACACGTCAAGCAGATGGGGAGCCTCTGGATCTGGCTCTTCCACGCTGCTCTGGAGATCTGGGCTGACGTCTGGGGCTCCTTCGGGCACGTAGCCGAGGCCCGGGGGAGGGGCTGGCACGTCACTGTTCTCTGCGCGCGCGTTCCCCGCTTCCTCCGGGGACACTGGTTCGGGAACCACAGAGAGCACCTCCGGCTCTGGCTCCGACTGTAAATACGGATTCTGGATCTCCACCAGGCTTTCCGAGCCGGCAGTCCCCGAGGTCGGCTTGGCCGGGTACGACGGCACAGAGATGGTCTCCATGGCAGCGATGGTGGTCCTCTGATACAGGAGCTTCTGAATGTTCGGCCCGTTCGGCCCCTCCGGCTCCGTGATGGAGCTCCGTTTTTTCAGTGGCCTTGGCGCGTTGGACAGTTTCTTTCGGAGGGCTTCTAAGTCAGCGTCACTCTGGTTTCGGTACGGATGCGACAAGAAAGGCAGGAGCTTGGTCGGGCTGAGTGGCCGAGGAATCCTCTCGTTCTCATGGCTCTCCGGAGCCGAAGAGACCGGCTCCGCCTCAGGCTCCGGGCCGACGGCTCTGCCCTGGTGCCCGGCGTAAACGTGCTCCGGGTGCTGCGGACTCTGGGCAGCAGCAATCACGGGCTTGCCGTAGACTACGGGGAAGCGGAAACAGCTGATCAACGTTGACCGAACAAAACTGGCAGTAACGCGCACAGCCAACAGGAATGCAAGCCTCTCGTAACTTCAGTCACCACACAATACCCTTCGCTACAACCGAGTTTTTAAAATTACAAATGACAAAGCAAGGCTTCAGCTTTGCCTAATAAACATATCACAGAAGCAAACGCCCACCGACTGGAACGCACACCGTTCTCTTATGTACCAATGAGAAAGAAGATGCTACCAATTCCATGGTAAGAAATCACGACTGCAGCATCCAAATTTAAAATACCAAAATGTAAAAGAAACTAAGAACCAATGGAAATTCGTAATCTTTTCATATGCCCAGATTAAAACTGAACACACACTATCCCATCTCTCATAATTTTCAAAAGTAAATCCATGTGAGAAATCAGATTTGGCTTATAAAATTATTTTTAAAACTTGTATTTACCAAAACTACTGCCCTTAACATTCTGATTATATTAAAATGATCTGATTCTCAAATGATCATATTAGCAGTTTTCCCTGAGACCCATGAAAATAGTAAGATGTAGCATATATATTAATTCTTTGCTGTCTAATTATGACATTTTAGGCCACAATTACATGCTTATTTCATGACTAGAAAGCCACTTTCTTCCCAATGAAACATGGTGAACTTTATTCTACTCCTATAATGACTCTCAGAAAAACCCAACAAATGACCAGTTTATGTATACTTAATACAAAGTCATCTCTTTGTGCTTTTATATTTAGCTAGTGGCTGTGTCCTCATTAGAATAACGTAATATAGAGACGGTTACTTCTTTTAAAACACCTCCACGGGGGAAGCTGTCCGGTCGTCCACGCACCAAGAAAACACCCGGCCTCCTGCAGTGAACAGAGCCTGCGCGTTGTAGTCACCGTGGGCATTTGCCTCCGGTCCCCGCGAGCTCCCGCTCTCAGTGCTGAAGGAGCGCGTGGTGAGTGGACAGATGCCCACAGGTGACTACAATGCAGGAGGCTCTGTCGTTCTATCAGTTGTATTCCTCTATTTCATTCACCGATTATTTCCACAGTACTTCATTGTATTCATCACTGGTGCCCACTGCAGTGGCTGATGTTTAGCAGAAACGCGAATTTAAACCCCCAATTAGGAGCAGAAGCCATAATTGAACAAAAGCATCAGTCCAGTGGGGACAGGCCACCTGATGCACTGACAGGTGACGGCAGTGGTGCGGGAGTCACACGGTCCACGCAGACAAGGTGGCCGAGAAGCTTACCGCTGGAGAAGTGCGGCCCCCTGGGGTGCGTCCTGGTCAGCGCGCTCTGCACGGCCTGCTGGAAGTTCTTCCCCGGAGCCTGGTGCTGGGTGTACATGGAGTATATTGAGCTGGCCGCCACGGTCTGGGGCTTCCTGAAGGGGGGGAGGGCGGCGTCTTTGGAAGGCTGCGGAGTGAAGGGCCGGACAGCGGCGGCAGGCGGACTCTCTTGCTTAGAACCGGGAATAAGGGTTTGGTCCTGGCCACCCGATGGCACGCCGGGGGCCAGCAGGACCCTCTGCTGCTGCCCTGCTGTTTTGGGTTTATTTCCCATGGTTGTGACGGCCTTGGACAACTGCTGAGGATTTCCATCAGGCTTAACGTCTGACGAGGACTGACTCGTTTGTCCAAAATAAGGCAAGTTAATCTGTTTGGGTTTTGACGGAACGGGAGGTGGTACTTTCACATTTTTATTTGCAGCCTGTAAGACACACACACACACACACACACAGCCAGTAAAAACACTGTACGGCTGGGTGCATGGGACGTTCTACATAACCTAATTTCACAAATGCAAGTAAACACAAAATACTAGCTCTACATTTTTAAATCATTCCAATGTGAGTTTTAAATCTCTGCACTGAGCACATTTAGTAGGGGCTCAGTGAGGCAGTGCGAATGCAACCCTGGGCGACCTCCGACTCCCCCGGGGACTCTGACTGCCTCTCCATGTTCGCGGACGGCATCGACACAGGAAACATTCCTGCTCCCGGAACTTCGTGCCACCCAGGCCGCTGTGTTCAGAAACACGACCTCGGAGCACGAGGCCATAACCTGGTTGTCAACGGTCGGGGTCCTTCAGAAGGATCCCCATCAAATCAGTGGACATAAACTCAGCTCCAGATTTTGAAGAAACAAGGTAACTGAGCAGCACAGAGTCGATGTTCTTCAATACACTCGTGTCTTAGAGACGTACACGAACTACGACCCAGAAGCAAGTGTGTCAGCCGTTCCTCAATGTGGTGACACCACAGACTAAAGCAGCAGAACTTAAACTAAGAGGACGCGGTGGTTTCTCACCTTGCAGATGCGGGCTGCGGCGTCCCCGCCCCCCCCCCCCATACTTGAACTCCTCCAAACGACACGTTAGAATTACCTCCTTAAGCGCCTGCGCGTCCCGCAGGATGTCTTCACTGCTCTGGTTCTTCCTCAGCGCCCCAAAGGACGGTGGGGCGGCCGACTGGTCAACTGTGTCGAACATGGAAAAGGGCCGCACCTTTTTCTCCTTGTCCCTCAGTGGAACCTCCCCATCATCAGCTGAAGACAGAAAAAAAATCGCATTCTTATCCACACAGAAGCCTCTCTCTCTCCTCAATCTCTTTGAACCCCTGTGCCCACAAAACGCTTTCCTATTTTTAAGTTAAGCTGATTAAGGAATAACCCAAACACCACCACAATGCCGGTACTGCCTTATTTCCCTGGCTAAATAAAGGTGCTCTGGAAATAAACACTGTCCTTGGTTTTAACACACTAGAAAACAGATGATCTAAGAAAGAACACATGGCACCGTTCAGATGGCCAAACAGAAAGTTCCGGAGCCGCGCAATGCGCCTCACCTGCGTCTGGAGTGGTCCCAGCGCTTTTCGGGGCAGAAGCAGGGGCCTGGCTTGGGAAAAGGTCTGCATTTGGACTCCAGTCGGGGCCAAGTGAATGGATTTTGGAGCCTAGAATGCAGAAAACAACTGCAAATGACCGAGCACTCTAAAGAAAATTGTTAATGATTCATTTTGTTGCTAAAAAATAGAATCTCTAAAAAAACCGCTTTAAATTTCAGACTCACAACCATCGCAATAAACTTATTTAGGAACGATCAGATCACATATTTCTAATTTAAGAATGTTCACCCTTCTTCAAACAACTGAACACTGATCACGGCAAACAGAAAGTCCGCCAACAAGGACACACTCCTCTTCTGGGTGACAGAAGGTCACCATCACAGCCAGAGATCAAGTTCTGAGTTAGCAAACCAAGGGCTCTAAGGTACTTCTCACATCACAACTCCACAAGTATGCATGCACTACAAAAAGGCAAAAATTAAGATTTTAACCCATGACTTTGACTAGTCTACCCCAGATCAGCGTATCTGGGTTTTTTCTATACTGATATTTAAGTTTCAAAGCTTTTATTTTTCCTTATAGAAACAAAACAAAAGCACCTCTACAATAAAACCCACTAGGCACCACATGGATCCACAGTAGCAATTATGGCAAAATAGTCATTTTAAAGTTAGCAAATTTGTGCACAACAGTGGTTGGGGAAAAGACAATACTGGCTGTTATTTTCTTCTTCCAGGGGTCGGGAGAATGTTTTCACCCTCTTCTCCTTCAGTTCTCCCTTCACTTTCCTCCGATTACAAACCTCCGCTCGCCCCTCCCTGTGCGCCCGAGGGCTACCCAGAATGCAAAGCTCACTAACACAGGGGCCTCTGTTACTCTCACTTGAGCGTTATTCTAGAAATTATCAGCAGGCAAGTTCTCAAGCATAAGCACATCTGAATACAAACATCATTTATCAACAGATGGACTCGTCACCTCACCGTTAATCACACGTGTTTTCACACAAAAAAGTTCTCAAATTACTAACATCCGATCACAATTTCCTTATTCATAAGAAGGAATTCAAAACAATTTTCAGATTTGCAAAAACATTACATTCTACTTCGTTTCCTGAATAGAACTGTTTTATGTAGGGTAGAAACTCACCGCGCTAGCGAAGAACACAGGAGACTCTTAGAACTTAATCATGGACAGGGACAGGAAGGCTTTTTTTAAAACTCAAGTCTGGGGAAACACATGGTGAGGACGGGAGGAGCCAAGCTGCGGAAGGACTTGAACACGACTTGTTTTACCTTTAGCGTGCGAAGCGGTCCCAGATCGCATGTTGGGCAGTGTGTGGACTTTCATGGGCCCCTCTGCAGGCTGCATGGCCAAGGGCCCATCGGGCAGAGCCGGCTTCACCAGCAGTTCGGGCCTGGGGGGCATCCGGGGCATAGTGGACGACTGGATGTAGGGACCGACGGCAGCCACGCGGCTCGGTGCAGACACTCCCTGCTGAGGCAGATTCCCATCAGGTGAAACCTTAGGAGAAAGCACAGGTCCTTTAGAATCACAAGTCGGACTGGCTCAAACTCAGAAAAGGCTATGACATTTTCATGTTTAAAAACCAGCCCTAGCCACAGTGTCTACTAGAAACATCCCAAACAAGAACGCTGCACAGTGCACGCTCCCCATCCTTACTACTGGAAGGAAAACCTGAGCCACACAGGTAACAACATCAACGAGCACAAGAGCGGGACATCTTGAGCAGCTCTGAGCCCGTCTGTCTGGAGGGCAGTGAGCCCTGCCCGGGAGCAGCTGCGATGAGCCGGGAGCTCGCTGGCTGGCCGTCCCTCCCTCCCCGCCCGGCGGAGCAGCCCACTCACTGGCAGGTTTTCTTTCTGCTGCAGCGCTGCCTTCTTCTTCCACAGCCGGTCCCTCAGCTCATTCACACGCTTATCCATGACCGCCACCTCTGAATTGCGCTTATTCAAACACTCCCTCTGTTGTTGCAGCTTGGCATTCTGCTCCTGATTCAATTTGTTTCTTAACTGAATAAATGGGGGAAAACAGAAACAGGTAGCCAAGGAGGAGGGAGAAGAATTTCTCACAGAGCCACATGGTTACCGATTACATAATTCCTGCACGTGCAAGGCCCCTCCACCCCTCCACACTTCTCATCGCAAGGCTGCAAGTTCAGGGTGAGACCACTTGCTGTGGTTCTGAGGAAAGCCTCAGATTTCCTGTGTGAGGGGCTGTGACATTTACTCTGGATTCTTTGGGACTTAGGTCTTCCTCCCCTCCGTGCCCTTTAAGGAAAAGACACGGAAATCCAACACTTCCTGCACTTGTAAGGACAACCCCGTGTGCCCGGGGAGGAGGTTCGACCGAGCATCGCAGCAGCCCATGGGTACCTGCAGCTCCTTGTACAGCCGATCGAGCTCCGCCACCGCAGACTGGTTGTCATGGTGGCCGTCGATCCTGCCGTTCTTGAGCATCTCGAGCTGCCTTGTGAGTTCCTCTACTTTGGACACGGCTAGAACGAGCTCCCTCTGCTTCTGCTGGAACAAGCTATTCATCTGTTCGATCTCCTCCACTGGAGTTAAAAGACAACAATCGCTGGAAAAAAACTAAGAACGGACCACTTCCCAGGCGACCAGGCTTCACAATGAACTTTCTAACAAAACGTAGAGGAATTTGCCAGAAATGTCCTAGAGCCAACCTATTTTTTTTCATAAACAACTGAAATCAACAGAGACATCTCAAAATATCTGTGCCTCGTTCTGAGTGTATTTTTGGCAGAATTCGTATTATGAATATAATTTAACATTAAACTCCATTCATTGCATTACACTTTTTATCTCAGTTTTCAGTGATAGAGTGCTTAAATCACTAAAATCTTCATTTAAATGGTCATATAACAGATGGAGCTATTATATGACTTCAACTCCTTGCCTTTGTCTGCTTGTCAGTTAAACAGTATTTAGAAGACACAGACAATAATGTGGTGGAGGGAGGGGAGGCGGGGGCAGAGGGAGTCCATGGGGGTAAAAAAGGAGGGACATCTGTAATACTTTGAACAATAAAGATAAAATTTTAAAAAAGAAAAAAATAACTGGAAGAAAAACAAACTACTACTACACTTTTCAAAGGGAACATGAGAACCTTGTCTACACAAGCAGCAGCTGAATTCAATTCAGGGGAACCAGCAGCATCAAAACTACAATGACTTTTACTTTCAAATAAATTCTTTTGAAGTTAGCTATATGCAAAGCCTCACCTTATCCCTCTTACTACAAACTTCTATAAACTCCAACGCCCGTGTGTCTCTGCACACCCGCGGTTTAAGGTGCAGCCTTCCGAACGGAACACAGTGAGGGAGAGGACTCACCGAGTTTCCCGTTGCTCAGTCTCTTCTGCTCCACGTGGCCTTTAAGGGCCCTCACTTTCTTCAGCTTAGCTTCCTGGTTCTCCGCTATTTCTTTCAGCTTCTTCAGCTTCTCCTGCTCGGCAGCCTGTTGCTGTTGACGCTGATCTTGCTGTTTCAGAAACTTCAAGCGCTGCTCCTACAGGTAAAAGCTGTCATCAGACCGTATCATTTTAAGCAGGGACACCACCCACCCCAAAATAATCTAACCAGAACCCTGCGATGCAGGGATGAGGTGCACCAGCGCTTGTCCTGCCCTGTACACGGCCACCAGACCACCCTGGACGTTTGTTACAACAGGCACTGCTGGGCCGGCCCCAGCGGCTCTCAGGGGTAAGGTCCAGACATCAGGATCTCAATCCAGTGGTCCTTGTGCAGCAAGCAAGCAGGACCCTTGAACTGGCCTTCATGAACCCGGTGCAGCTGTAAGGAGCTCATGACAAGGGGGAGGCAGTCTAAGGAAGCTGTTAAATGATAAGCTTTGGAGTCAAATTTGGATTCAGACCCAAGTTTGGGCACTTTTTAGCAATGAGATTTTTTGTTTGTTTTTTGTTTTTTCTAGTGAAATGTTATATTCCTGTTTAATTGACATTTAAGCGGCACTATCATGCTATGGAAATAAACATCATTTTTAGTCTGTTGGGAGAATAAAGATTCTACTGAGCATTGCTAGACCCTCTACATTAAGGGTGGACATTATGACACAGGAAAAGCTGGCAGGTCATTGTCTTGTCTATCCCGGGGGGAATCCCAGGACGCGCTCAGGGCGGCGTCTGTGCTCCCGGCCTGGGACTCCCGCTCTCCGTCCGTGGAGTCCGGCTTCTCGGGAAAGGTGCAGCCGGTCCGCCGGACCGTGCCGCTGGCTGCACAGTGACCGGCACAGATGCATTCAGTCGGGGGCTTGTCAGAGACCAGCTGAGACAGGAAACCTCCAACAAATGCATCTCCGGCTCGACTGGTATCAGTAATTTCTTTCTGGTCCTGATCCAAGACAGCAAAAGCAGTGACTTCTCTTTCCACAGCCGTGACAGTGTCATCACTCCCTTGGGTGAAAATCACGACTCGCAGCCTCTTCGAGTTCACCTTTGGCAGAGCGTGTGTCTTTTCGCCTATCTCGTTAATGTCTTCAGTCTCAAGGCCTTGCTCGCTAGCAAAAGTGGCAGCTTCTGTCTCATTTGCAAAAGTATGTCAACATAAGGCATAACTTTCATCAATGATTCCTTGTAGAACTGACTAATAAATGGTGCAGACAGGTTCAAAGTGAAAATTATTCCTTGTAGAACTGACTAATAAATGGTGCAGACAGGTTCAAAGTGAAAATTCTGTTGCTCTCCGAAGCAGGCTGAGCCACTTTTAACACTGACTCCGAGAAAAAAGCCTCGGACTCGCACCCTCCAGGCTCCAGCGTGGGGGAGGCAGCTCGAGGGGCACCAGAGACACACGGGGAGGAACTGAGCTGTTTGGCACTGGAGCGAGGGCTGGAGAGGCGGCTTTCTCCGGAACAGACGTGTTTGTTCCTTTGGTGAGCCCTCCCTGGGGCGGCAGACAGCCGCCATAGCTGGGACTCCAGCAACCTGGCTCACACCTTAGCAGTGACATTTGGGGGAACTTACATAAGCTCACCGAGCAGAAAAGTCTGTTTCTTCATCTATAAAATGGATGATCAATAGTAACTAACACACAGGGCGATGTAAGGGTTAAATAAAATGTGAAGTAGAAACCTCTACCCTTACATAGTTACTATATATTCAATAAACACACTGAGAAAAGGGCCTCTTTCACTGATACCCGACACAGCTTGGTGACCTGATCAGAGTCGGGCTCAGGAAGACCTTGAACAATGGGTGATGTAAGGGTTTCTGCCACACGCTGGAGTCAGGAGCAGGTGGCGCTGGGGCTGAGGGTACACACTCGACCTGGAGGTGACTGGCACAGCAATGCGGGAGGACGTACACAGCTTTGCGCGTCCGCAGCACGGGTGGCCTGAGGCCCTTACAAGCAAGCCTACCTTCGTGGCCAGCACCTGCTGCTGGGCCTCGATCTGCTGCTGCTGGCGAGACGCCATCTCCTGAAGTTCAGCAAGAGTCAGATCCATCCGAGGACTGTTAACCTACAAATCAAAACACAAACTACTTACCATAAAACGACCGCAGAGATTTCTCCCTCTGAGGTCTATTTATACTGTTTATAAGCTTCACCTGAACCAATCATGTCTAAATTGTTTAGCCATTTTTATTCCACAATATTAAAGAGACTATTGATTTTCATATCCACACCCCCACACTGACTTATTAGGTTAGGATGTAAAACATAACTGCCCTGGCCAGCGCGACTCGACGGCTGGAGCGTCATCCTGTACACCGAAAGGTTTCAAGTTCCATCCTGATGGGGGCGCTTATGGGAGGCAACTGATAGATGTTTCTACCACCCCCCCTCACCCCAAAGTCAATAAATATATCTTCAGGTGAGGATTTAAGGAAAAAGCCTGACTGGTGTGTCTCAGTGGACTGAGCCTCATCCATGGACCGAGAGGTCCTGGTTCGATTCCGGTCAAGGGCACGTGCCCCAGTTGCAGTTCAGGGTCGTGCAGGAGGCAACCAGTCGATGTGTCTCTCTCACATCAATGTTTCTGTCTCTCTCTCTCTTCCCCCCTCCTCTTGTCCCTCCCTCCCTCCCTCCCTCCCACTCTATCTGAAGATAAATGGAAAAAAATATCCTCGGGTGAGGATTGAAAAAACAAACAGCCCTGGCCAGTTTAGCTTAGCGGTTAGACTGCTGGCCCGCGGACCAGAGTCCCGGGTTTGGTTCCCGCTAAGCCAGAGGTTCTCAACCTTTCTAACGCAGCTCCTCATGTTGTCTGTGGGCGCATCTGCATGTGGGCGGACCCGCCTGGAGACGGATAGGGGAGCAGGGTCTGGTTCCTAAGACCATCAGAAATGTGTTTTCCGATGGTCTTAGGCGACCCCTGTGAAAGGGTTGTTCAACCCCCAAAGGGATCATGACCCACAGGTTGAGAACCACTGCTAAGGGCACATACCTCTGTTGCGGTTTGTCCCTGGCCCTGGTTGGGGTCGTATGGGTGGCGACCAGTCGATGTGTTTCTCTCCCTCTTCCTCCCTCCCTCCCTCCCGCTCTATCTGAAGATAAATGCAAAAATGTCCTCGGGTGAGGATAAACACACACACACACACACACATATGTATGTATATATAAAGTACTTAGGAATAAATCTAACAGAAGATATGTAAGACCTATACTCTGAAAACTTCAAAACACTGCTGAGAGAAAGACCGAAACAAACGAACAGATATATCCTGTTCATGAATTGAAAAGCTCAACACTGTCAAGATGGCAATTCTTCCCAAACTGATCTATAGATTCAACAGAATCCCAACCAACATTCCAGAAGGCTTTTTTGTATAAATTGACAAGCAAATTCTAAAATTCCACATGAAAATACAAGGGATCTAAAATAGTCAAAACAACTTTGACAAGACTCCCTGACTTTAAGACTTACAATGTTTTGGTAACCAACATAGTGTGGTACTGACATCAAGGGAGAGCAATAGATCAATAGGAGAGAAGAGTATAAAAACAGACCCATACATATGTGGGACAACTGACTTTAGACAAAGGTGCAGAGAGCAACTGAGTGGGAAAAGAATAATCTTTCCAACAAATACAACTTGTACAACTGGATATCCAAATACTGGGGGGGGGCTTTCTCACACCACATGCAAATGTTAACTCAAAATGGATTATAAACTTAAATGTAAAAACTAAAACTACAAAACTTCTATCTAAATTGATCTATTATACTTTACCAAAACTAAGAACAAGTCAGACTACAAAAAATATTTTCAAACTTCATTTCTAATAAAAGACTGGGATCCAAAATATGTAAAGAACTCTCAAATGCAATAAGAAAACAAACAATCCAATAAAGAAAAAAAAAATGAGCAAAAGAAAGAAAAAAAAGTGAGCAAAAGAGTTGAACAAACACTTCATCAAAGATACCCAAATGACAAACACATGAAAAGATACCCACAGTATAGCCGTTACAGAAATACAAATTAAAACCACAATGTAACACCATTACACACCTATTAACCAAAAGTAAAAGGGCTGACCATACAAATGTTGGCAAGGATGTGGAAAAACTAGAACTTTGGAGGAAATGTAAAATAAAACAATCACTTTAGAGTAGTTTGGCAGCTTCTTAAAAAGTTAACATACACCAAGCATACAACCCAGTCATTCCACCCTTCGGTATTTACTCAAGAGAAATAAAAGCATTTGTCCACACAAAGACTTGCACCAAATACTCATAGCACCTTGATATGGAATAGCCAAAACAACCCACATGTCCATCATCAGGTGAGTGTGAACGCATAAACAAACTGGGGCATATCCAGACAGTGAAACACCTGTCAGCAATAAAAAGGCAGTAACTACCGGTATACACAACAAAACGGGTGACTCTCAAAATAATTATGCTGAGTGAATTCAGACAAGAAAGTGTACATGCTGGATGGTTCCATTTATAGAAGATTCAGAAGATACAACTAATTTATAGTGACAGCACGTGGACCCAGTGGCGGGACCCTGAGGGTAGGAGGGCGGCTGGAAGGCAAGGGTGATCACAAAGGAGACAAGGAAACTGGGGGGATGATGGACATTTTCATTATCTTGGCTATGGTGACGTTTTCAGAGGTGTGTGCAGTATGTCAGAACTTCCCCACTGTGCACCTGAAATATGTGTAGTTTATTGTGTGTTGATTATACATCAATAAAGCTGTTTTTAAAAAAATACCCCGTCACCCAGCCAGTGTGGCTCAGTGGTTGAGTGTCAGCCCTGCACCAAGAGGTTCAGGGCACACCATTTGGGGGTGTGCAGGAGGCAGCTAATCAATGTTCTCTCTCATCGATGTCTCTCTCTCCCTCTCCCTTCCTCTCTCCCTAAAATCAATAAAGAAAAAAAAAAACATTAATTTTAAAAAAGAAATAAAAAAATGCCCCGTGAAGGGAAAAGATGCATTGCGTTGAGATGCACTCAGCCCCTGTAAACGGCTAAGACCACCGCTGTCCTTGCATCAGCCTTTTCTCACCACGCCCGAGGACAGGTGGAGCAGGACGACGTTAGATCATCTGGATTCTAACAGGAGTCACTGCAGATTGCAGAAAGGTAACTTAGCTAATTCCTAACAGTATTAAAAATTCTGAACTGCAAAAAGAAAGTGTAGACAGTACCAAAAAGATGCTCGCTAACATTCATATGCAGTAGCAAAAGCATGGATATACAACTTTCCAATTCTCTAAAAGCATTACATCAAACAAATAAAATCAGCGCAAATACTTCCTCACATACACTCTACATTTAGTTTGTTCTGAATCTGTGGTATATTCAGCATCTAAATTCTTTTAATAGTCAACATTGGCCCTGGCCGGTTTGGCTCAGCGGTTAGAGCATCAGCCTGCGGTCCAGAGAGACCCACGTTCGGTTCCCGCTAAGGGCACGGACTTCGGTTGTAGTTTGTCCCCGGCCCTGGTTGGGGAGTGTGGGTGGCAACCACTCGATGTGTCCCTTTGACGTCAATGTTTCTCTCTCTCTTCCTCTCTCTCCCTCCTGCTCTATCTGAACAAGAAATGGAAAAATGTCCTCAGGTGAGGATTTAAAGAAATAATTAAGTAAATAAATAGCATTTTAGAAATCATTAAAATTGTTTCTATGAAACAGACATAACCTTTTAAAAATAAAGGTGACCCTTACTAACCCACTGAACACCAAGGTGACGATGAGGGAGCGCTAAGGGCTGAGCAGCAGCAGCCCCGCGGTGTGTACTTAGCAGGGCAAAGACAATCACTCACCCCGTTCTCCTTCCTCCGATGGTCTCCAGGGACTTTCACGCCATTTCTTTTTAGAGTTGGGTCCTGAGACCTTGGTCCACTCACTAAGCACAAAATTCAAAAACTATGCATTAAACCAGAGTTGGAAGATAGTCTAAGTACCAGTTTATTTCTTAGTTCTGTAATTATTGCCCTTTGATATATTAAGTTAAAAGTAAACTTCAAATAAATTTTTTTCTAATAGCAGCAGCATTAAGGTCTCAGAATTCAGCCTGTTTCGGAAAATACAGAACAGTGAAGAGTGAGCTCGAGAAAATACCACATACTAACTACCCCTAGGAAAGCTCCATGACTCAGAGACCAGAAAGGAAAACAGGATTAACAAAACAAGTATACTTCTGATTATGGGTAATCCACACCATTCTCTCATAGCAGCTCCTCCTAGTTCTCCATTTAGCTCCTCAGCAGTGAAATCAGGAATAGTTTCATTGAAAGAATTAAGTGAAAATTAAATCAACCCATCATTGAGCTCATTAACAGTGTATTGTAACTTATACAGGAAGGAAGCAACTGAAAATACAAGTGGTATTTTGAATATTTGGTTTATCGAGGACATTTTGTGGTCATTTGTAAGTGCTATGAAGTACTTCCCCATTTATTTAAGTAAAAAACTTCAATTTTTTTAGTTTGGGAAAGTACTAACTGGAAAGCTGTTTTTCTGGTTTTTTTGGCTAATGATAATACACCAAGCCAAAATATATGGATCTCTTTGTATCACTTAATGCATCATAAGAGGGAAATAGTGTTAATTTAAATTGATACATCATAAGAAACAATATCAACAAAGAAAATTTTTTAAATACATAAAATTAAGCTTATATTTGTACTTCCAGAAATTAAAAAAATTATTAAATTATCTAAAAAATTTTAGATTAAAATTCCCTTTGACTCAAATGTCTACTCTATCTGCCCCAAAGTTTAGCTCAGACTCCCACGCCAATAAATACGATGTCCTCAAGCCAAGTATCACACTTATACCTAACTCTAACGTGTGACATTTGCTTTAAGACTGTTCAATTCTGTCATAAAACAGCTCCAGTGATCTGTCACATTATTTCTGAAAGAAAAACAAATCTACCATTTAGGAATAATAATTGCTTTCTTTGCTGCCTCAAATAGAGTACCCAACCAGTCTCTCCTTAGCAAGTTCAGTTGCACAATCAGAAAGGCAAGAGCTGTAAAAATAATCTCATGTACATTCTGGGCCCCAAGTCCTAATAAAACTGGAAGAATATGCTGACAGTCTCCTAATCCGTGACCTAAAAGGCTACACTGAAAAAGGCCACCAATGCCTTACTAAGACACTGACAGAGGACTGCTCTATCCCGATTCCAACACTAGGTGGCACTGGTGTTTTGTGACTACGAGGAAACAGCTCCTTTACCTTCAGATCATATTTCTCACATTACAGACACACTGAAACTGCACAGCACTACGGAGAGGCTGTTCAATAATTTACCCAGGACTACAGGGGAGGACATTTGAACTGGCAGACAAGCAGGTCAAATCCAGCTCATTTCTTAGAAAAGGATGCATGCAGCAATATAAATAAAAAACAAAATAAAAATGAGATGCAGGTGCCAGTTTAAAATTACGAAAAAAGAAGGCGTCAGGAGAAAATACATGCTTATTTAAATCAAAACCACAGGCACGTCACTGCTGGCTCGGCAGCCAGCCCGAAGGAGGAGATTCGAGTTCCACATCTGGCTCTGCCTCCAGGTGTGTGGCCTCTGACTGGCCATTTAACCCCAAGTATTAGCATTTCTCATCTGGAGAGTGGAAGAGGCCGGACAAGTCAATTTTGGGGTCCCCCCAGTCTAAATTTAATACTTTCTAATTGCTGGGTATCATATGGACATTTGCATAAGAGCCATAAAACAGACTAGAACGTCCAATAAGTAACATCTGTTACCTACATTCTTACTCCCAAGAATTATATACAGAAGTCAAACCCTCAACTTTCCATTTTAAAAGAGCCAACATTCTGCCTTGGCCGGTTTGGCTCAGCAGTTAGAGCTAGAGCGTCAGCCAACAGATCAAATAGTCTCGAATTCGATTCCGGTCAAGGGCACGTGTCTCGGTTGCAGTTCGTCCCCAGCCCTGGTAGGGGTCGTGCGGGAGGCAACCAGTCAATGTGTCTCTCTCGCATGGATGTTTGTTTCTCTCTCTCTCTCCTTCTCTCCCTCCCTCCCACTCTAAGGGTAAATGGAAAAATATCCTCGGGTGAGGATTAAAAAAAAGGTTCCAACATTCTTAGAAATACCTAGTAATTCGCTTCCACTGAGAACAGAGCTTCCCATGACCTCAGATTTGAAACTGTTTCTTCTCCCACATCCTACGAGACCTCCAGGGTCCCAGGGACGGTTGTGTCCTCAACGTCTAGCGACGCGTTCAGCCTGCTATTTCTCCGCTGTCATGTACTGCCTCCTACCCTCTCATTATCATCTATAACTCTGGTCACAACCCTCATCACCAGATGAGACCACCTGACTCCCGTGTCCTCTCTACTCGGGGTCCCGCATTCATCCCAGATAACTCCCCTCCTAAGAAGGGGCTCGCTCAGCTCTGCAGCCTCCTTGTCTCCACTCCATCTCCAGCTCATTTCATGACCAACCTGAAGCCACATCACCTTGAAGCGCTCCACTCAAAATCTTACATTCAAACATCTCTCACTGCCCCTGCACCGATCTGAGCCTGTCACCTCTGAACCCCGGTAGCCCTTCCCCTCCTATCTTCCCTTCTTCCCCACCCAGCTTAGATGTCATCTTGCCAATATCCTCTTCGTCCCTGTCCCACTGACCTTCCACTGAACTGGTCTGGTGTAACTCCAACCTCGGGTCAATTCAACCACCTTTCCCCCTCTTACAACCCCCTGGGCCGGAGAGCTGCCACCCCTGGTCTGCATGCCCTCTCGTGGAGGTCCACTGGCCTCCATGGGGCCTGGCAATCGGCTGCCCCACAGGGCTCTCTCCTGGTCTTCACAACAGCGCACAATGCCAACCACGTCCATCATCACTTTCAGACGGCTGCCTCCGACTTCCGAGCAAGCATGTTTTCAGAGAGAAGTTCCTTGACTTGCTCCCACAGACACATGTATTTACTCGCATCTGCAACAGTTTCTTTCTGTCCTGTTACCATGGAAGAGGCTCCCTCCTCTGCCCACAAGGATCTCTCCACCAGGGCTGAGGTACTCACCCATCAACTTCTCCCGCCTTCAAACAAAACAAAACAAACAAGACCATCCCTTGCCTGCTCCCCAACAGGTCTCAGAAGAGTCGTCTCTCCCACTGTTCCTACTTACCTCTCATTCACCCCTCGGATCACCTGGTTCTGCTCCAAAGCATAAAATCACATTCAAATCTTGGTGATGACTCAGAGAATGCTACCTACCAATGTCCCTGCCAGGAGGGTGTTCATGACGAAGGAAGAAACGCACTTCGTTCCTCTGACTTCCAAGCCTTTGCAGGACGTCAAACATCCGCTCGTTATCTGCAACGGGACGTTCTAGAGAAAGACAAACACATCATGTTATCTATCCTTCATGCAAATTATACATTGGGAGTGTAGGAAATACACCACATCTGAGGTCATTTGTTTTCATCATAGGACCCCTTAGAAAATGAAGTATCACAGAATTGTCACATATACGATCAGTGTCAAACCTGTGGAGACCTGGAAAGAGGGCTGGATCTGGGCCGGCTGGAAAGAGCGTGAGCCCCTCATTCCGTGGGCCCCTCACTAGCATCACTGCCGCTCCACGCCCATGGTTTCCGAGGTTTCTGTCACCTATTACACAGGGGGTCTCTGAGGGCCCGTCTGACTCTAATGGTTCTCGGATTCTCTGATATATACACAACTTTCTAAATAGCCTGGTCTTACCATCTATTAGACGATTTTTAAACTGTAATTGTTAAAACTGTTACAAAAATTGGACGTATCTATTTCCAAAAGCTATTCACTGCACTAAAAATACATCCACTTGGCCCCTCCAATGAGAATGCCAATTGCCAGGACTTTTCTAAAGAAAAAAAGGGGGGGGGGGACTCAGCTAAATACCCTAATAGATAGGAACTTCAGGAAAAACAACATTCAGCTCCTCTCAAAAAATCTTCCAGCTCTGGCCGGTGTAGCTCAGTTGGTTGGCACATCATCCTGAAGGTTGCTGGTTTGATTCCCAGTAGGGCACATACCCAGTTTGTGGGTTCGATCCCCAGTCGGGGTGTATGCAGGAGGCAACCGGTCAATGTTTCTCTCCCTCTCTCTCTCTTACTCTCCCTTCCTCTCTTTCTAGAATCAATGAAAAACATATCCTCAGGTGATTATTAAAAAAAAAAATCTTCCTGTCTCTAGAGACCTGGATATAAAAACCAAATATACTGTTTGAGGATGCAACTGCTTAAAATCAAAAAGCTCCAGTAATGTCACTATCTTTTTTAATTTATCTTTATTGTTGAAAGTATTACAGATGTCTCTCCTTTTTCCCCCACTGACACCTTCCTCTCCACTCCCGCCACCTTAAGAAAACTCAATGCACTTGTCAGTAATCAAAGACACTATTCTGCCCTGGCTGGTTTGGCTCAGCAGTAGAGTGTCAGCCCACGGACCAAGGAGCCGCAGGCTCAATTCCGGTCAAGGGCACGTACCTGGGTTGCGGTTCGTCCCCAGCCCTGGTCGGGTCATGCGGCAGGCAACCGGTTGATGTGTCTCTATCACGTTGATGTTTCTCTCTGTCTGTCCCTCTCTCCCTCCCTCCCTCCCTCCCACTCTATCTGATAATAAGTAGAAAAATATCCTCAGGTGAGGAATAAAAAATTTTTTAAAAGACACTATTCTAAGTACGGTAAATAACACAGGCAGAGAGGAGCAGCCAAGCATCCAGCAGCCAATTCTGTGAACTAACCCTAACCCAATCGGCCTGGTTACAGTTCTGGTTCTGTCTCGGTAACAGAGCGTAATACTGAGAAATTCTAACTAAGACTACCTCCCAAAGGGAACACCCACAGATGAGTAGACAACCCCTCAAAAGAAACTGAATAGACCCCTCCACCTCCTCACCAAACTCACTCTCTCTCTCTCTCTCTCTCTCTCTCTCTGTCTCTCAAAAGAAATAAAATCCCCAGATTCCAGAAGCAGAAAGAAACTCAAAGAAAGTGAAGCAACTCCCAGTCCTCGATGGGTTGGACCATCTTAAAAGGGCAGGAACCGGCTCCGAAGTTAGGAGCTGAGGTCCTGCTGGCCTGTGATGAGGAAGATCAGGCTGGGCCTGCGCCTGCTGAGTTACAGGCCAAAGTTCCCAAAGCCCGGCTCTCACCCCAGGCTCCACCACACCTATCTCCTGGTCACGGCATCTGGGCCTCCGAGCAGGCCTCTCCTCGTGCTGACGACCATCCCCGGCACCCTTTGCTCCTGCCGCTGGAGACGTCCGTCCGCCACTGCAGTTATCACACTGCACGCTACGCGTCTGCTGAAACGTGCTTCCACGTGGAGGCAGGAAACCTACCTCTACACCCCTCCCAATCGAGCCGGTTCCAGGCCCATCACAGGAACCTAAGAAATGCTCTCTACACAAGCGAGTGAGTGGGCAGCAAAGAAATGGAGATGGCAAATAAAAACTATTGGTTTAAAAAAAAATTGTCGGTGAAAGAAAATAAGTAACTTGAGAAGCTAATAAAATCAAAGTAATAGTATTTACTTTTTTTTTCTAATCCTCACCCGAGGATATTTTTACATTTATCTTCAGACAGAATGGGAGGAAGGGAGGGGGAGGGGGAGAGAGAGAGAGAAACATGGATGTGAGAGAGACACATCGACTGGCTGCCACCCGTAAGACCCCAACCAGGGCCGGGGACGAACTGTAACCGAGGTATGTGCCCTTGGCAGGAATCGAACCCAGGACTCTTTGGACTGCAGGCCGACACTCTAACTGCTGAGCCAAACTGGCCAGGGCGTATTTACTATTTTTTAAATGGGGCACCTTGAATAATTTATAACAAAAAAAGCGAGGGGAGTTTAAAACATAATGACTATTGCCCTGACTGGGTGGCTCAGTTGGTTGGAGTGTCATACCGTACACTGAAAAGGTTGCAGGTTCAATTCCCAGTCAGGGACATAGTTAGGTTGTGAGTTCAATCCCTAGTCGGGGCACATACAAGAAGCAACCAATGTTTCTCTCTCTCTAAAAATCAATAAACATCCTCAAGTAAGGATTAAAGGAAAACAAAAGCATAAAAGCTATTACTTACTGTACCGGAGACTATGCTAAGCCCCTACATTTATTATCTCCTGGAATCCTCACACAAGCCTATGAGATTGATTCAATTATTTTCCAACTCTGTAGATTAAACACTGGAGAATTACAGAGATTAAGTACCTTGCCTTCAATTATAAAGCTAGTAAATGACAGAGACAGAATTTTGATGACCTCGTCCTTAATCACGTCATACAAACAACCCTCAAATTAATTATGAGTTCACTGCAATCAAGCAGAATCCCAACAGAATTTTTCATGGAGCCTTTCAAGGTAATTCTAAAATTTTTCTGAAAAAGAAAATATACAAGCATAGCTCAGGTATTTTTGAAAAAGCAGAATGAAATAAACACCTGCATTACAGATACACACCATACTGTAAAACTGTAGTAATTAAAACCAGTTCTGGCCCTGGCCGTGTGGCTCAGTGGATTGAGTACTGTCCCATTCACCAAGAGGTTGCTGGTTTGATTCCCCATCAGGGCACATGCCCAGGTTTTGGGCTCGATCCCCAGTAGAGGGCATGCAGGAGGCAACTGATCAATGTTTTTCTCTCTCTTTCTCTCTCCCTCTCCCTTCCTCTATTTCTAAAAATCAATAAAAATATTTTTTAAAAAAACAGCCCTAGCCAGTTTGGTTCAGCAGTTGGAGCAACAACCCACAGACCAGAGAGTCGCGGGTTTTGTTCCCGCTAAGGGCATATACCTCACTTGCAGTTTGTCCCCAGCCCCAGTGGGGGTCGTGCGGGTGGCAACCACTTGATGTGGCTCTCTTACATCGATGTTTCTCTCTCTCTCTCTTTCTCCTTCTCTTCCTCCAGCTCTATCTGAAGATAAATGCAAAAATGTCCTTGGGTGAGGATAAAAAAAACAAAACAAAAAAAAACCAAGAGCAGAATTAATATAAATGTTTATGAACAAAGAAATAGTTAAATCAACCACAGTTTATGTATACTATGAAAAATTACGTAATTTTTTTAGATGATGTATATTTAAAAGATCTCCAAGCTATGCTGTAAGATAAAACAGTAAATTGCAGGATACTGGTATGTATAATGCTAGTTACGTAATGCAAAAAGTGAAAGAAATAACACAAAACTATTTCTATAGTTACATACAAATGCAGTGAAAAATTCCAAAAAGCTATCTGCTAAAATTAGAAGCAATTATATCAAGTAATCAGGAGATGGGTTTGGGGGAGAGACTTCCATTCTATCTGTATTACTTCTTTTACAAAAAGAACACATTCAGATGTTATTCACCTCTTTTGTTTTAATTTTTAAAATTAGAAGAAGAAAAAGCCTTAATCATCATCACATAATATGGGTCTAGGACTCAAGTGAGCAAAGACACTAGAGAGGAAGCGGGGGCAGAGTCAGAGCCTCACGGAAGAGTGAGCCTCGGCCAAGAGAGAACGTTCTTCCTTTGTGCAAATCGAAGGAAGGGCAGGCGCACCTTCGAAGAGACTTTGAGGCAAGTACAGAGCAGGAAACTAGGGAACTCTACCGGGTGCTTCAATCATCTCAGCCGGGCATAAGGAGAGGCAGTGTGGTGGATGCAAGGAGGCGACCAGAAGCAGCCAGAAGCTCCTGTATTCCATCAGTGAACACTGACTAACACCTACCACCTACCAAGACCCTCCTGAGCTTGTGTGCAGCAATGAAGAAGGTAAGCAAGGCCTCTTCCCTTAGGGAGTCTACACTCCAGTGCACGTGTCTGGGGCTCCAGGGATTAAAGAGGCAATAAAGTAATAAGCACGTGCGCACACACGCACACGCACACATGCACGCGCGCACACACACACACACACACACACAGAGTGACATATCCACACAGGCGATTAAATCAGGATGACATGCCCTGGCCAGTTTGGCTCAGCGGTTAGAGCGTCGGCCTGCAGTCCGGCGAGACCCGAGTTCGGTTCCCGCTAAGGGCACATACTTCGGTTGCGGTTTGTCCCCGGCCCTGGTTGGTCGTGCGGGTGGCAGCCACTCGATGTGTCCCTTCACGTCGATGTTTCTCTCTCTGTCTCCCTTCCTCTCTCTCCCTCCCACTCTATCTGTACAAAAAATGGAAAAATATCCTCGGGTGAGGATAAAAATAAATTAAAAAATAAAAAATAAACAAACAAGTAAATAAAATAAAAATGATCACTTGGGTTCCTTTATGCAAATTGTCTAATCTAGCTCTTGTGAGAAAATTTAAAAAAACAACAACAACAATTCAAGGAACATGAAGAAGACCTAGAACACCCAACGGTGGGAAAGTCAACCACAGATGAATAAGAGGACTTGCCTGGTAAGAACTGAGCGCTCAGCCAAAGTCAGCTTTCATGACAGGTGTGAACCCAATGAACACTGTGTGATCTGCACCCCAGAGAAGAACAAAGAAACAGCAGGAGCTCACTCAGGCTGCGCAGGAACAAGCAGGACTTAGAAAAAGTTACTCCCACATCTAGAGACTCCAAGGGGGCCAACAAGAAACCAGGTGCCCCATTTTAGAGCTCCAAAGAACTATACTGAGGGATCGATTTCAAGGCTTAAAGTAATGCCTAGATTTCGCCAGTGCCTTCTGCCACCATCGTAACTCAACACTGACAGCGTTCCCTAAAAACCTACAAAACCTTAGAAAGGGCAGAACAATCAGAAGGCCTCAAGTTTCTAACCAAGCTCAGCCCAAGCACATAAAAAATACTCATGAGCACACCAGACGCTTCCACCTGGCATATCAGCTGCCTGGCCTTTGACCTTCTCTACTGTGGTGTCTTCATCGTATTGCAGAAACAGAAAAGACATTATGTGTCACAAGGCTGGATGGAGACCGTTCTCTCCTGATGGACGTGCTCTTCTACAGCTTGGATCAAGATGAGCATCACCCCTGCCACATCCCAAAACCAATGACCACGGAAGACGCGTAACCAGAGCACCGGGCTGCCTGGCTCTCTCACCTGAGCCACACCACACTTCAGCCAAGTGGCAATCACTCTCGCCGGGTTCCTTGCACAGGTCCACCACATCTCTGCATATTGTTTCTGGAGTGACAGGCACCTCTGTAAAGTGCTGCTCGTTGTTGCTGAGGTACACTGTAAGAAACATCTGGAAACAAAGAGAGAAAACACAACAGTTATCAGCGCTGTCCACACGGGTGCTGTTCACTTTTGTTCACCTTCGATTCCTTTCCCCAGGGTCAGTCAAGTGCGAATGTTCCACAGAACAGCTGGCTGACCCTGGCCCCAGTGCGGGGAGGGATCTGGAGCTCTGCCCCTCCAGAGCACAGCCTGCGGAACCCTAGGGAGCCTTGGAGTACAGTCAAACCAGTTCACATGCAAGGTCAAATTCAATAATTCCCTGACATTTTACTCATGTGATTTGTCTACCAAATACCTAGTTCTTAGTATGCACCAAACCCACACTACATGCAGATCTTCCTATCGATTCTGTAAAGGTGATCGGGGATACCATGCATACATATTTCATGCACAGACTCTTTTTGGAAGGATACATGAGAACATAACGTGTTGCTTCTGAAGGTGAACATGGAGGGCAATCTAATATTTATACCATGCGCATATATTCCCAATTCAAAGAATTGTATTTTTAAACCTAAAATGTTTTAATCAAGAGAAATACCCACGTTAAATATGTCTTCATGTCAACCAGGTGTAAGCAAAATGACTGGCTGTTATGCTACAACATATCTGACCTGTAGATAACACACTCAGGCCAGCAGAGGATTTAAATCTAAAACTCATTAATAATCTTTTCCCCAGCAAAAATAGACATTGTATCTTAAAAACACTGCTACTAAAGAATTCAAGTTTTCACACCTATTAAATTACCGAGAGAAAAAAAAATGCTGTTAATTAGCAGTGCTGAAGAAACTGAGAGAAACAACAAATTGTCGATGGTGATGTCAGTCAGTAAACCCCTATGGTTCATTAAACTCAGTGAGCACCTACTATGTTCATGCAATTCAATGAGTACCTACTCGGTGCAAATCAGTATGAGTCAGGATAGAAAAACAAACCATTTGAAAGAGTAACCCCACTGTGAGACTTCATCCTGCAAAAATAATTGATCCAGGAAAAAGAATGCAAAGGCTGTGGAACGTGGGCTTGATGAACCAGTACAGCACATTCTGCAAAAATAATTTGTGAGACTCTGCTAACCACTGGGGGAAATTGGGTTTTAAGACCGTGAAAAGCAGAATGGGTAAGATCTGCACTGTGATCACACAACACAAGAACGTCACACAACTGCCCTTCCAGCTTCAACTTGTCCACCCATCACCGCAGAGCTGGGCACGCTGCACGGGGCTCCTCTTTGTGAAGAAGGCAGATCTGACGAGGGACAATGGCGGAAACTGGCTAAGACACCAGACTGGGTGCCTCAAGGATCTGATCAGTATGAGGAGAAGGTGTGCACAAGTGGGGGGGGGGGCAAGCTCAGCCTTGCAATGAAACCATATTTTCTTAAGGGAATCCAAGTCACCACTTCTTGCAGCCAAAGCTCTTAACCCCCATAAATGTGTGTAACACAGAAAGTGACCCAGAAAACTAGAAAACATAGACAGCAACCCATTACAACTAGAAGGTAATCCAGAAAAGTTATAATAGTGGATTCTGTTGAAACAATAAATAAGATGAATGAAAAAAAAAAAAGCTGTAGTTTCCCAGGATGAGGTCAGAACCTTTCGAGCTAATGATACCAGGTTTTGCACATTCTGATACATAGTTCTAGGCCTCAACTCGGCCAACAAGGCAGCACTTTGATTTTTTTTATTTTTATTGATTTTAGAGAAAGAGGAAGGGAGAGGGAGAGAGAAAGAGAAACATCGATAAGAGAGAACACTGACTGGCCACCTCCTGCAGGCCCCCCACTGGGGACCTGGCCCACATCCTGGGCATGTGCCCCGACCAAGAATCGAACCAGCAACTTCTTGGTGCAGGGGTCCACAGTCAACCACTGAGCCATGCCGGCCGGGCCAAGGCAGCACTTTAAAACTGTTACACAAGCCCAGAGTGGCTCAGTGGTTGAACGTCAACCCATGCACCAAGAGGTCATCAGTTCAATTCCCGGTCAGAGCACATGTCCAGGTTGTGGGCCAGGTCCCTAGTTGGGGGACATGCAGGAGGCGGCCAACTCATCTCTCTCATCGATGTTTCTATCTCTTTCTCCCTCCTCTCCCTTATTCTCCCTCTAAAATCAATAAAGAAAAAAAAAATTTTTTTAACTGCTATAAAAAAAACTGTAAAACATTGAAAAAATAAAGATTAAGCTCACAGAATTCCACCTGCTGCTGCTCTGGCAAAATACACAGCGTACGTAATGACAGAGGTCAACGATCTACACTTCACTGTGAAGCAGGACTTCTCTCCTCTGTCCTCCCACCCACACCAAAACTGTCTTTGAAGTTGAACACTTCAAGAATAGTAACTATTTTCACTGTAATTATGAGACTTAGGGGTGTTTATTAAATACAGAAATATTTAATACACAGTCTGCCTACTAAACACACATTGTATCAACAAATAAAAAGGCCATTATTACATAAGGTAATAGCAGCTTACCTGGTCAATGTCATCCTGCAGAGTGCTTTTACACGTATTATCTCAGAAACTTACATCAACTCTCAGGCAGAACAGGTATTATTTTCTCTGCATAAATAAATGTTTAACAGAGGACTCAGAGAAGCGGTCTACTTGGCTACTTGGCGAAGGGGAGGGCAGGGTAAGCTCTGTCCTTCCCCTCCGTCCCCAGCCTTCAGGTCTACTTGGCTACTTGGCGAAGGGGAGGGCAGGGTAAGCTCTATCCTTCCCCTCCGTCCCCAGCCTTCATGCTGCCCCTACAGCAGAGAAACATGAGGAAATGCTCTGTTTCACCACAGCAACCCAAACCTTACAGAGATCTGGTCTTTTACTTTCTGGAAAACGACAGCTTTGTTTAGTTCAAAGCAAAATTTCAAATAAGAATGGTGAGAGGTGTGCTGTTTAAGATTACTATTTCCCCCCAAACCATGGACTTCATACTGGCACGAATGGCGAATCCACGAGTTGACCCCATTTCTACCTGGCCTGTATGAAGTTTAGCTCCGAGGCAATGTTAGTCATTGTGCTGAATCCTCGATGCTGGGCCGGCAAGTGACATGCTGCAGATTCCTGGGCAGGCAGTCTGGGTCCTGAGCCCAGATTTGTTAATAATTAGTTAAATCACCTTAGGGAAGTAATATCACCTCCCTCAATCACAGCCTCCATATCTTCAAAATAAGAGTCTTCAAATTCTCTAAGAGCTACCATTATTTTAGGTGTTTGTTCGGTGTCAGAGTAAAAGCCAACATCTTTACAACAGCCCACAAGTTGGACTTGAGCAATTCAGACGTGAAGTGAGGGCCTAAAGGAAGGCAGTGGTGAGGAGGCCCGAGAAAGGGGCAGATTAGACAGAGAGGACAGGCTGGTGACAGGGAGGGTGGGGGCACAGCGCGTGTGGGAACTGAAAGATCCAGTGATGAGAAAATCAGTTCAGGAAGAAAACCAGGTTGCTTTGCCATGTGACTGTGACAGCATCCGGAGGACAGGGCAGGAGAGGGAGCAGTCGGGTTTGAGTTAGCTGCCTGATCCTGCCCACACCAACACCGCTCCCACTCCCTCCCCAGCCCGCATCCCCTTCGCACTCTCTGTTCCACCAGCGTTCTCCTTGCTGTTCCTCACACGCCAGGCACAGTCCACTCTGGGAGGCTACACCCTCTGTTCCTCTGCAAGGTTCTTCCCTGTAGGCTACCAGAGGCCTCTCAGTTCCTTTAGGTCTCTACTCAAATGTCACCTTCTCCGTGAGGCCTCCCCTGGCCACTCTTCCTAAAATGCCACCCCCACCCCCACACATGCACACGCACACTTCCCTGCTTTATGTCTCTTCTTGGCACAGTCACTAATGTGTTATATTTATTTAATTATCACATGTATTTAACACGGTTTTATTATCGGTCCTCCCTACTAGAACAGTCCAGGGTTTTGTCCGTTCAATGCTCTATCCTCGGCATCATGAATGTGCCTGGTATGTAACAAGCAAACAATCAGCATTTGTTTATGATCAATAAAGTTCTGTAGGTATTACTGCATTTTACAGTTACTGATTTATTTTCACAGTAAGCTTTCTTCCAGGTATGACAAATGGTACAGCATACAGGAGAGAAAGGAGTGTGTCCTCTCCTCCTTTCTTCAGCTTATATGATGCTACAGTCATCCCTCCTTTCAACATTCTTTCATTCATTCGATATTTATGGGCCATCTATTTTATTCTCTAAGTTCTTAAGAACTGATCTTTAATAAAGAGCTAAGACCGCACACAGTACAAAATTCAAGACAGAGAGAGAGAGAGCTGTGTGGAGAGGGGCACAGCCAGCCCCCAGGGTCAGAGCCAGGTCAATAAATGCCCCAGCCTGGCTCCCTCCCTCTTCCGTCGCCTATCACTCCCCACTGGACAAACAACTAGCAGTCAGTGGACACGGGGAGCAGTTTATAGAAATCAACCTCCTGGGGCACAAAGCAGGGTGGGGAAAGGTAGAGTTGAATCTGGAGGACAAGCAAAAGGTGCCCAGGTCCCCAATCCTCCCCATACTCATACTCAATGATGTCAGCACCTGCCTGGTTAGAGAGGGCTCCTGAGCAAAGAACTCGACACAGTGAGCGCATGGCCCAGCTAACGTTCCAAGCAGAGGAAGCCGCAAGTGGAAAGACCTTGAGGAAGGATCGAGTTGGCCACATCTGTGGAAGAGGAAGGTCACTAGAGAGAGCAAGGGGAAAGGATGATCTAGACATTAATTCAATGAGGCCAGATCATGCCAAGACTTTATAAGCCACTGGTCCTCAACAATGGTGTGGACAGAGCTGCTCATCACACAGCTCAGCCCCAGCCTTGGAGTTTCTGATTCAGTAGATCTGGGAGGGGGAATGAGATTCTACACTATTAACAAGAGTCCTGTGACACTGATAATGTTGGTCCAGAAAACACAAGCTGAGAATCATTGTTCTAAGGCCCAAACAAGAATTGGGATTCTAATCTAAGAGGCCGTGGGAAGCAATCCATTAAGAGGCAGAAAG